ACTGCTGAATGTGATGTAAAGATCAACCCCCGAGAGAGACATGGCTGATTACTAATCTTTTCAACCCAAGTCTGGTCAGCTGCACAGAGCTAGTTGCTAAATATTGTTCAATACCTGCATTTTGTATTCAAACAAAACAGCAAGCCCATTGTGAGTCTGAGACTTGTGTAAGAATACTTACACAAAGTATGGATGCAGGAAGTGGTAAAAATTAAATAAATCATATTACGATTATTTTTACAGATAATATGATTTGCGATATGATTCACAATTAGTGGGAATGATAATTTTTGCAACGCAATTTTTTATTTTTACTGAAAAACCTATTGTCATGATGATTTGTAAGCTGCACTATTGTACTTTATTATAATGCTGTTTTGTCACACATTAATTTTAGCTTCTGCAATTTGGACTCTGTACTTGGCCATATTGCCATTTTGATCATATTTCAATTAATTTTAATCATATTTTACGTGATGGTCAAAACTGCATTGTGAAAATATGTGGCCATCAACAGGAAGTCAATATAGCGTTGAGGAAGGAAATGCATTTATGTTTGTGAGCCCTCAAGAACACAAACATTGTTTTTAGTAAGGGTGGGCGATAAAAATTTCATATTAGTCGATATCAATAATTACAATGAATGCCAAATCATATTTCTTTCAAAGTTTAAAGGCTGATTTTATTCTCCTGAGTGAAAGTTGAAGAAACTAAATGGTTAATTGAGGTTTTAAACTATTCTTTATGCTCAAAACATGACAAACACAGACAGTGGATTAGTTAACAAATCTGAAGTACAACATTTAAAACAATTATAATGAAAAAATCTAATTTCAACAAATATGCATTGGCAAAATAAGTCAAATCTTTTTTCATCTCTTTTTCCTCAACAAAAGAAATATTTGCTAATTATAAATCTAATCTTTATTAAACATTTGTTGTATTGAGGGAAATTATATTTCAATAATTACTGTTACTGTTTTATTGCCCAGACCTATTTTTAAGTGAGGAACACTGAATACAAATACAACCTTGTTTGTTTAGAACAATGGTTCTCAACCTTTTTTGGGCCAGCGCACCCCTATCCATTATCCAGGTCGCTTACCGCGCCCATCAAAAAAGATGTTGGCTATCTGCACTGAATATTGTTAATTTCTTTTATTGTTGTTGTTACTATTGTTATTATTCTGGTAAAATTTCTGCTTTAACTTCAGCCTTCTGCATCAATTTAGGGTGGAAATATCTTATTATATAAAGGGAAACACAAAATTCAGGTGGCAGGTGACAATTCAAAATATATAGGCCTACTAAATATAATAGAATATAATGTGGTGAGGCTCTCTGTTGCGGTGGCAGCCCGGCTGACGGTGAGTTTCCTGTGTTTCTTTTCCTAGTTTCGCATTCTGTTTTTTCCCTGCGTCTCCTCCCCTCTCCCTCTGTGGGTGCTCTCCCTCTCTCCGCTACGGAGCCCGGCTGATGATCCACACCTGTGTCTCATCAACCTCCACCTCCGCCCGCAACACCTGCCAGCCATCAGCCTCATCTTCACCAGTATTTCAACCCCGGCCCTCCACTCCATCCCCGCTTGATCGTCGTCGCTTCAGTCCTGGTGCCACCTCAACGTTCTAGCTCTCTCAGATACCTCGTTCTTCGACCTCTTGTCTCTTGAAACTAGCCTTGTCTGTTTTTTTCTGTTTTCCCCGTCAGGTTCACTCACCTCCGTCATCCGTTCAGTCCGCTGGGCTCGCCTACCTGCCTTCTCCCCTTGCCTCGCCTCCGCAGCGCCGCACCCCCCCGTAAATCAACTTGGGCCTATTTAATATCATCCCTGCTGAGTCAACACACATGATTATGTCTTACCTCCTTTTGGCTCTTTTTGTGGGGAAGTAAAAAGTAATTGAGTTATTGACTGGACTTTATTAGCTCATCTGTTAATAACTCGTATCATAACTCAGTGTTTCCCACAGATTGACATGGATGAAGTGTAATTGTGTTGCAGCCGGGGGGCGTGCATTCGATATTGACTATCAGTGTGTTAGTCTCGAAAACCCAGCTGTATTCTAACATTAACTTAGATCTCCTTATTAGCTAGGCTTCCCGGAATATCCCTCTTGTAAATGTAACCCCTGCCATAACAAGATGTTCATGGCGTATTATAATAATAAATAAACACTTTTCCACGGTAATACCAAGAAAGAGAGCGTCAATTTTCCAGAGTTTACACAGTAAACGCCATGTGGGTAAACTTTTACAGTTGATACTCTGATTTCCCCTTCCCATGAAGGCAGCATGCAGCTGCAGCACACCTTCTCGTCCAGACGCAGTGTACTAAACTAGGTTTTAATGTTGCAGACCACGTTTTTTGCAAGTAGTTTAAAGTTTAAACTCGAATTGTTGTGAATTTTTGGTGTAAACTTGCCTTAGAATTTCCAACTAACAAACAACCCCCAAAAGCAACTCAACACCCCGCTTTCCAAAATATTGCTTCCAGCGCCCCCCATCGTCGTTGGAAACGCCCCCCGTTGAGAAACACTAGTTTAGAAGAAAACTCTGCAGGGTACCTTTAAAATGGTTCTCCACCGATTTAGCATTACTCTCTTATAACATTGTCGGACTCACAAAGAACAGACAAAAAAAAGTAAAAAAAATCAATGCAGCAGAAATATAGTCTTTTTTATTCTTCTTATTCTTATTCTCAACTGATGACCGTTTGGTCTGAGATTTAGCTGTGTTATGCTAGTAGTAGCTAATGTAGCCTGGAGCCGCTTGTCTCAAGCAGAGCTGAGGAGCGGGCTACAGAGTTCTGGTGAGCCCACTGCTTCTTTCTAACTCCACACACCAAGAATCTTTTCTTTTTCAAGCTTGTAGTCTTCAGCCCCAATGGACACTGACTCAGGTGACATCACTTGAGGCAATTTATTAGATTTTGCACAGCTCCCTCTGAAGCCACAAAAAGCTTTATACAACCTTTTCTACATCTGCAGTAGAACTCCTCAATATCCGTAAACAGACTGTAGTGTAAAATCAGCTTTTTGCAATCAGAGTTCCACTTTAAGTTGGTACTAAACACCGCATTAACACAAATTGACAGTAAAGCTGCATATGGTTTTGAATGTTACATTGTAACAATGTAAAGAGACTTTTCACCAAAACAGCCTTTCCTTCAGCATTTTCAACAATGTGGATCGCAAAATCAGTTTTCAAAGGTTAACATTATTAGCCAACTTAGATGAGAGAGAGAAACACAGAAAAAGCTGCAGAATGACCTGATATTCAAGCTAAATACAGTATTTACTCTACTTATAATCTCATTCTCATCTCAATTCTCATCCAATCAATTAATGAAGGTAACCATTTTACAAGGGGCTTTACACCTATCAAGGGATCAGTAATATAGTTTGCATTAATGCTGACCACTTTTCAAAGCAAGGCTCAGCAGTGTTTTAGCATGTTCAACATGGGAACCAACTTTGAAATTTGAAACTTGCCTGAAACATGTAAGCCATTATAACAAACGTCATGTCTGCTTTTGCTTTTTGTCAAATGCACATTATGCCTGTGCAGAAATGCAGTGCAGACTTTTCAAATCAATCAGCACTTTTGAGTCTTTGCGCAACGATAAGTTTGAGTTTTTCACTGGGATCAGTTACCTGAATCAAGCCAGTTGCAAGTCCATGCAAGTTGATTTTCCTGATATAAATGGAAACCAGAAGGGAGGTAAACACACACGTAAAAATCTGAATGCCAAAACAAGTTTTGAAAAAGGTCATGTTCAGTGTAAGTAATTTTTAGTAAACAAAATAGTTTGTATGTTTTTTTATGAATTAGTGCATCTTTAAAAAGTGGGGAAAAACTGAAGTTTTCAATTAAGAACTGAAAGAACATGACCTTTGCACTGAGAGAATCTAGTTTCATGACTCGTGATAAACTGATGAAAATCACAGAAACATAAGCCAAAAGTCTCTCGCCTTTTATTCTCTGCAATGAAGTTTTGTGAATCAGTGTTTGCTTTGCACAGGCTTCATCTGCTCTGAGCTGAACTATATGGATGGAATTAGTTATTCCTACATGGCACCAGCAAAAATGATTAACATGAGGGCCTCTATTTAGTACCTGTCAACAACACACACACACACACACACACACACACACACATATAAACTGTATACAGGAAACTGTTTGAAATGCAGGCTCAGACTTAAGAAATCAATGTCTCTGCATGGCAGTCTACTGTCTGTAGACCTCATGTAGAAAGCCACTCCAAAATGTGACAAATCCATCCGCCAGTTTCCCCCTTCACTTCATCACACCCACACCCTGAGCCAGCACAAACCCCCACCACCTCTATCCCTACCCCTCCCCTGGGCCCCCTTCAGCCGGCTGCATGTCTCTGGAGGTCGCCTCTGACGTCAGCAGCTCGACTGGGCAGAGTGCCAGCCCTCTGGGCCCTTGATGGATGTGGTTGGTCTGAGAAACAGTCCGCTGTGTGTGGAGCGCACGGCACAGACTCAACTCGGCCTGCTCAAACACATCTAATGACCCGTAAACACCCAAGATGCCCGTTTCCCCTCCCTTTCTTCAGTCTATCACACACACACTGACGATTAAAGGAGACACATGTGAAGATGAGTGATTTGTACTGCAAATGGCCAGGATAATAAATACAACCCGCAGAGGCACACTCTGCCTTGGCTCTGGTTATCCCTTGGTCTTCAAGAGAAAAGGTTTTATTTTTCAGCGCAATAAAAGCAGACGACTGACGTGGCTGCAGATATTCAGGGCAGCCTATACTTGTGGTTGACTGGTCAGGAACACATATGGGATTATGTGAGCTAAAAAGTACAAACATTTAACCAAAGACAAATATTACAGAAATTACAACTCTGCGTCAATATACTGAAATCAGCTGATCCAATCATTATGTCACAGTGATCCAGAGAGCTGCACTGTGTGTGTGTGTGTGATTTCATGTTTGTCCCTGTGTGCGGGAGTGGGTATACCTGCAGGCCTGCTGCCGGTCTTCCTCTTCAGCCATCTGTCCAACGTCTCTGCACTCACACTCTCCAGCACAAAGTCGTCCAGCATCTGCGGGTGCAGCGAGAGGTAGGCCTTCACTTTCTCATCTGTCAAGCCTGAAGAGCACAGAAACAAAACGTCTTTTAGATCATGCACTATACAACTTTATTCATGACTAAGTACAGTGTAAAAAATTAAAAATAATGCGGGGAGACTAGCGCAAAATCATCGTAATTGTAGAAGAGGATGGAGAAGAGAAAAAGGTAACAGGTGATCTCCTTTTCTTTACCGCGAAGTGAGAGCGGCAGCAGCAGCACCTAGGCTCCGGCTAAAGCTCTCAGATAGCCGAGCTAGCTCACTTATGTTTACTGTAAAGCTGTGTCTCCAGGGATAGGAGCCCCCAACAGAGGCAGCAGGATAAAGGAGGACTCGAATGTGCTTAATAGGCAATTAGGTTCTTGAGAGCTCGCTAAGTGCTGCTGTTTACTGTCTTTGTTGTCAGGGAAAAAAGCCATTTGCCAGACCATCGTTGAGTGAAAGTTGTTTTTAATACACCCGCTGGCGTCTGAGAGGCCGTCACGATGCACTAGGAAACCATGTTTATGTCACTCACGCAAATGGACTGTGTGTCTAGAACAAAGACTTGTAATGTCATCTCAGCGCGAGACCGTGACCGCAACGCTGGCATAAAATGCAAAAATAATACTTCCTGGAGAAGAAAAACAAATACTATGGCTGTGCTAAATTTAGATTTTATGTCATGGTATACAGTAAATGTATCTGTTATCAGATAATAGTAGAAAGAAGGCTGCTACATTCAGACAGTCCTGATCGGTTTTCTTTTTATACCGCTTTCTCACGAAATATCTGGTTATCAGCAGCATCTGTGAAGACTCCCTTCAAGCATAATTTACAGGAGGACATGCAGCTGGAAGGCATGTGTTCTGCCGTCAGACACTCAAATATATATCTATCTACACACACACACACACACACAGCATGAAAATATTATCACTAAGTATTACTAAGTGGGGTGTCTGTCTGAAATCATGTATGATATCAGGGTAGTGAATGGCTAAAGACGTTTCGACAACAGAACTGTGTGTGGAAGGTGGCACTGGCTCAACTTTTTTTAATTTTAGAATCAAAGTGCTGCTGACTCTGGTAAACAGTGTGAGCAGCTATCTACAACCTTTGATCCATTCCCCCAGAACAAATCATTTGATCTTCAGTCACAATAGATCATCTGCTCACTGTGTGTGTGTGTGTGTGTGTGTGTGTGTGTGTGTGTGTGTGTGTAGGTTGAGCAGGCTTGTGGTTGCTGGCAAATAAGGCAAACAGAGGTGGCGGTAAGTTTGGGGGATGGAGGATACTGTGGTCTGACGCTGTCCAGACACGAGACACAGATCTTCAGGAGCGGAACGCCTCACGAGACTCCTGGCCAGCTCTGACGCACATCGGCAGAATACGGCTTAATAAATCAGACAAAGTTAAGGGGGGTTGAAGGGAGCTGCAGGGGACAGAAAGACACAAAGAGGAGTAAAATGGGAGCGCTGCAAAAGACCCTTACGACTTTGTCCTATTTGAAACACAAAGAAGGCACTGTGACACTAAAAACAAGGACGCTGTATCAGTTTATGAATACATGTTTTGTGTCAACAGGCTCTTAAACTTATTTAGCTATCATATGTGTGCACATGAACAAAAATAGTCAAATGTCCCATTTCCATGGGGCAAAACAAACTGCAATGATTGTAATTTTGCAGTGGGCATATAATGGTTGATAAAATGGTGTTCTGTGCACAACCCTGCGCTTAAAATTACTAGCCCACACTAGCAAAAATTGGAACTTGTGAAGCCTTATTGGCAAAGCAAAAGGAAACCATGGCTCTCTTGAACAGCCACTGTTAATTTCTGACCCCTAACCTTTGCTTCGGCTGAGAAGAATGCGAAATGAACGTATGACCAAATTTGAAGTTTGTACTAACATTTTAAGTAGGGAGCATGATATATATTTGACCTATCAGGCTAACAATTGCTTAGAAGATAAAGCTGGCCACATTCTATATTTTTGTTGTCAAAAACTCACACAAATACCAAAACCAACCATATCTCAATACTTTCTGACATCCCCAACATTTATGTGGCTGTCAGCTCCAAGCCCATTTGTTCCTACTGAAGATATACTGTAAAACAGGTTACGAATATGCGCTTTTACCTAAAAAAGACAGCTGGACACTGTAGTTTTTATCACACATTATTCAAACAGGAGTTAATAGTGCATTTGTTGGGGACTATTTTCAGCTTCAGATTAAAACACATTTGGTGCTCCAGAGATCCTAACAGGCAACAGGGTGGTGTTTCTGGAGTTGACTGAACTAAACTATAGTGTTGGTGTTTATTGTAATGAAGCAACATGTCACCCAGTATTACACTGCGGCTCAGTGATATAGTTTTATTCGGTTTTGTACAACAATGAGGCTGTATTGCACAGAGGAAAAGATCAGACCAGACATATCCTATAAAACTATGTTATGACGATGCATTGATTGCTTATGGTGAATACGACAATGCAATACAATATTATGAATCATTACCGGAAGGCAGAGCACGACAGGGAAGCCTTCAAGGGTCGACTTCCTCTGGAGTAAATATAAGAGCAAAGATGTTTTGTTGAAATAATTTGGACATTTCTTTCAGTTAAAGTAGGCAGCTTCAAACAGATACTAATAATTAAATAGTGTTTGCATCTGCTCTAAGCATCAGACATAGTTCAGGTCAAGTCCACTGGTAAGCAGCTAGACACATGAAATGCATTTATCTGTACCAGTTTAGATGGTTATTGGCAAAAGACAAAAATGTAAATATCTTCAATCTCTATTAAAGCTCTCTGGAAAAAGAAGCCAGAGGAATGACTGGTTTGACCCATCAGCCACTATATTGCAGAATGATGGTGATTGATGCACTTTTTTTCTTGAACATTCCTGCTACTTTCTGCCGACCTTAGAGACTTTCCCTCTGATTCCCGCTGAAATCTTTCGAGCCACGGCTCAACCTAATGTGACCGCAGTGACACTCAGAGCTGTGGGATATGCGTCAGTGTCCTGGGCCTGTGACTACGATGGCTAATCAAAGGTGCAGCCAGATCTGTCCCACATGCTGTGGTCAAGAATGGTTAACCCCACATGTGCTCACTCAATCAGGAGAGAGAGAGAGAGAGAGAGAGAGAGAGAGAGAGAGAGAGACTGCAGTGGCAGGAGCAATGGCTTGGTCACTGGTTTGATCAGTTTTTTTTTCTTGTATTTAGTCAAACTCAGTAAAATTTTCCTTCTCTCTAGGGCCAATGCTGCTAAAGACATTGGCGTCATCAAGATAAGCACTAAATGTTTTGATTTCATTCTAATAAACACAATGTCTGACACGTCAAACATAAACAAATCAAAATGTACATATAATCCAAATCCTCATTATCTAGCTCTTTTTTGTTGATTTGTCACATTTTCAAATTTTCAATATCTTGAGCCAGTCCATGAAGTTTCGGCCAGAGCAGTTTGGTCTTCCCGTGCTTTCAGCATTAAATTATCTGTGTATGGTAGGGCTGTGCCAAGGCTGCAGCAGAGGATAATTGCTATTTAATTGGCATGTTTATGATTACGCTTGAACAGTGTCGGGAGAGGTTTTCAAATTCTGTACTCAACTAAAAGTAGCCTACCAGTAACTTATTGTAAAAATAGTAAAAGGACTTCATTCAAGTCCTATCAAAGTATAGAAGTATATTATAAAAATGTATTTCCTACTACTTAAGAATGTACTATTCCCTGTGACTATCACTATTATATATGACATTAGATTGTTAAGGCAACTCTGTGTCTGTCTTCAGCCTTTTATTTCACGAAGCTCTCACCAACGTCCGGCAGCCTCTTGCTTGGTCACTCTCTTTCTCGCTTCTTAGCTTCCTCTGTCAACGTCCTCTTCTGTCTCTTCACTTCTTCCATTAGCTTACGTTATGTTCATAGAGGCTGCTGAACCTGGTTATGTTGCCCGCTTGTCCGGCTCTGGCAAAACACCAGTGCCGCTCTCCACCAGCTGTTATTTTATGGCAGAAAACTTACACAATGTTGCTTGAAACTTGGGCGGCAAGCTAGCCAGCAACCAACGCTAGAGCACATAAAGTAACATTTCTGATATCCGAGTGTGTTGTCTAGTAAGTTTGCTAATATCAACTCAAGATTTAAAGCCAGCAGCTAAACCTCTGTCTGTGAAACCTTTAGCTGATTTTGCTCGAATCGACAAGCATCAAGTGCAAAAACACAAGACAGAGCAAGCCAGCTAAGTTATTGCTTATTAGTCCAACAGCAAGAAGGCCAGCTCAGCATCTGTCTTGCATCCTTTCAGCTCTTTTAGCTCACGCCAACGAGTAAAAGCCAGTCCAATATTTACTCTTGTCTTCAGTCTCTCTGCAGCCTCTCGCATGATATCCATACTGAGAATACCGAGCTAGCTTCTTCCAAAGAACTTATATTGTACAATCTATACTCTTTGCTTCTTCTTATAGCTAGCTCGCTGAATAGTCGTGTTGGTGTGAGTCATGCCATTGTCATGATAGGGTTCCTGCCCAGGATTCCAATGCTACATGGTGCAATGCCAGGCGCTCCGGGCCGGAGTGGCAATGACAGAGCCACCATTCACCCTATTATAAGTCAGTGTATCATCAAAATGACTTTGAAGCTATTATTCTAAGACAACATTTCTACATAATGTTGCTGTAATGCTGATTATCTCCTTTATATCCAGATAAGTAGTTTAGTAGGTTTGCTTTCCAAAATTACATTAATAATTTAGACTTTTCTCTTGAACTGTTTTTAATTAAACCATCTGACAGATTTTAATGGGAAATGTCTCTCAACATCTGAATCGTGACTAGGGGCCCCCACTTGACACTACTTTTTGTGAGGGTTCACAAGCCAGTACAGTATTTCCCTCTGAAATCTAGTGGAGTAGAAGTAGGTATAGCTTAAAATAGAAACACTCATGTATAGCTTTAATACCTTAAAAATAACTGTAACTACATAACTTAAATGATTAATCAATTAAATGTACTTTCAGGCCCAGGTGAGGGGGTTCCAGTGGGAAGCGGTGGCGGACTGGGCACCAGAACTGGAGCCAGGCTCAGCAGCCTCCCAGTAAACGCGGCCGGACTGACACTGAACACAGCCTCAGAGGCTGACGGAGGCCAGTTTGACGACAGGGAAGACAGTACAGAGGTGATTTATACTGAGAAGTAAGGGAATTTGTGAATAGAGTTTTTGTGACGTTCTTTACTTACAGCCGAGAACGGAGCGTATCAGGACTGTGAATGGAAAGCCTCAGAGACTGACGGGGCCAGTTTGATGACAAGGAATACAGTGCGGAGGTGATTTACAATTGCTCAGGCCAGGGGTCTAACTCCCCCTCAAGTGGGAGAGGAGCGAGAGTGAGGTTAGGCATTAGAGAGGCAGCAGCAGCATGTAGAGCCAGAATATTTTCGCATCTAACTTTGTGAATTAAGGGTTTATTTCAACCAAACATCTGAAATACTACGCAAGACAGTTTTGGTGAGTTTTATTTTGTTTGTTTTACAATAAGTTAATAAAGCAATGAAGCTAATATTAGTCTTAGGACTATACAATCGGACTATCGCCTCTAGAAACACGTGGCGTTGCAACACAGGACAGGTTAACATGCTAACTTCAGTAGATACTGTATCTCTGCAACATAATACATATATGTCTTTGACATAATGTCAGAACACATTCTGTTGATAATGTTGAGGTAATGTTGGCTTAAGTTTTAAATTATAAGTATGTCCATATCTTCATTCATTCCACATTGCACCTTTAAATGACTTTGAGTCTAAATTAAGTCAGACAAACGTATAGGTGGGAAACAGTGTTTTGTGGAGCATGTTTGTGAGTGACTGAAGCCCAGTTGGCAGAGATTTTGGGGCCTGACTCAGACTCGGGCTTCCTGTGTAAAAACTGAAGCCTGAGTTCATGCAGTGAGGTATCGTTGCATAACACTTATCTTGAGTACAGCACACCACGCCCTGGGACTGGGAAGGGAAGGCCAAACCAGTCACCGTCTGTCTGGGACTCACATCCAAGTTTCAGAACGAACACGCTCCTGTTCGACGGGGAGTGCTTTTACAGACAGCAAGGGCTGGGTATCTGTATTGTGTCAGCACCAGTTTGTGGTATTAATATGGAATTTCAGGCATCAAAACATCCTTAAAATGCTTCAAAACAGTAAATACTTGGGAGCTGCAATTCAGATTTATGAGCATTTTTATTAAGGAAATCAATTAGGCATGGTCTGACTTTATATGGAAAAGTAAATGGCTTGTAGAGATGCTGTAAACTGTAAGTAATTCACTCCCTCGTATAATAAAATGTGCTTTCAACATTTTTTCATGATTTGTATTAGTATATATCGACTTTAAACTATTGAAACAGAACTGAAGAGTCAATTGTGGTGAGATACCATATACAGGTCACAAGCCATAGCAAGACATTTTGCAGGTCAACATTTAGACAAGAAGGAAAGCCCGACACTATTTGTGACGCTAAATCTCCTTTAGAGAATAGGAAAAGAAAAGAAACCCTTGTGAAGCAAGGGCTCATTTGTCTCTCTCTGCCTTTATTTTACCATTTACATTTTGTGTGATTTAAGCCTGCACAGCCTCTCAGTCACTGTTCTGATGCAACACCACGCTTTATGCCATCACTTTATTTTTCATGTGAAAGCTGAGAAACAGAGATGGTGACTGCACTGGATGTTTCCAACTGCAGACCCACATCCTCTTTTTCTGTTCTATTTGTAAATTAGATTTTTTCAATAAAAGTGTCTGTCACGACAGAAAACTCTACATGTCACAAAGTATGCTCCTTACCCAAAGCAGTCCCATAAGAATGTCAATTCAGGTGAAAGGATGATTTTTATCATTAAATTTAAATATCAATTAAATTGTCAGATTGTTTTTGATACATTTAGTAATCATTTTAGGGTTTGATTTGTCCATTTCCCAACATTACAAAAATGATCAACCCAAAGTGGTTGAACTATTCACCTTGTGGCAGTGATATACAAAAACAGGACACCTGTGGTTACAGGTGCAACAGAGCACACTTCTGAACACACCAATTATTAATAGGTGGTGTTGAATTTCTCGATAATGGACGAAACTGTCGACTGCCCAAATCGATTGCATTTGCAGCAGCTCGAAAACAGTACGTTAGAATTTGCAACATATCTTCATAAACTTTAAATAAATAAACATTTAAATAAATGTTCAAAATGATTGGCAAGTCAAATTATGTAATGACGTCTAATAAAAATGATCTTCAAAAGTCATGGTGAAGAAAAATATTTGATATACTATAAATGTTCACGAGCTAGCCACATAGGCGGATATAATTCACAAACCTTTTGCCCTCAATTTAGCCTGTCAGGTTAACTCAGGTAAGACTCTTTCCCAACAACAGACATTACACATCCTAGGGGTAAGAGCTGTTTAACAATGCTTCTCAGCTGAGAGAAAGTTGATGAGACATTGACTTAGTTGGATGGAAGGTGGTTATTGAAGGTGAGGTGTGACTTATTTTGACCTGGGCTGTTATTTGGGTGACTTGGGCTTTCTGCATAAAATGGCTATTAATGGATACATTTTCAAGATTTGTTAGTTTTTGCAAAAATACTGCAAAGATAAGAGAAAAGTGCAAGCTGTATCAAATAATATGAGGAGAGTTATTAAATTCTTCCTATGTAAGCTTGCACATTCCTGCAGGGAAAGTGTTGATTTAATTAAAACAATAAACTCAGATATGCAGATAAAGGAACATTTTAAGAGCTGCCAAAAACAACAACTGGCTTCACCCTATCATCATCTCTCCTCTCTATTTCCCATTGAGCAGTAAGCTATCTGTGTGATAGTGAATGTGTGTCTTCGGCGTTCCTGTCAGACGCTGTCGACTCGAGCAATGTCAACAGCAGAGGCCGACCACGGCAGTGCTGATGTTTAGCAAGCAAGATGTTCCTCCTCTGCAACACATAGATGAAAAATGCACGAGAGAAAAAGGGAAAAGACCACTTCTCTTGAAGCGCACTCCGTCTGGCAGAGAGTCAAGGGCAAGCTGCCAAGGTACTACTTTTCACTTTCCTGACATGAGGCTGAGGCAGGAACAGGGAGGGGGGGCTGTGGGTGCGTGCGTCAGCAGGTCCGCCTGGGACTCCCTTGCCAGGAGGTGGGAAGAGCATGTGGTTCTTATCTTATCTATGGGAGGGCTGGAGCACAGCGGCCAACACTGACATTCAGTGAGCGGCAAAGAGGGGAAAAAAGAGCGCACACCGAAAATGAAAACGCTTTGACTTCTGTCCCACTGCTCACTTCATTTATTGTTTGAGCCTGTGAACCTGGATATGTGTGTGTCCATATGCAGGTGAATACACACACACACACACACACACACACACACACACACAGCAGCTAAGGGTGAGGTGACCGGTGCAGCTAAATCAATACACCAGTCAGTGAAAAGGTGTCAAATGAATAAAACGCAGATTCAACCTGGACTTTAACTGCAGTCCCATCCCTTTTAGAGACACACCTCCACATGGCGAAAAGAACCACTGCTGCACAAACATGCAAGATCACACCTCATACTTGAGAGGGGGGTTGGGGGGAGAGGGATTTCCATGGAAATGTAATTTGGATTATTTCCACTTGCATGGTCCAGGTCATTAGACGTAAAGGGTAAGGGCTATAAATGGCAAACTGAGATGTAGATAAGGCATGTCCCTTGATCCACGGCCTAATAGTGTGGTCACAGGCAAGCAGCAACACTCGGACTGCTGTTACAGACACACAGCAGGTCAACCTTCACCTTCAACTAAAAAGGTATAAACTCAAAATTTTCTTGTGCATTTCCTTGAGTGAAAGGAATCTGAACAACAGCCAGAGGTTGGTGAACACACAGCCTACAACAGCGTTGAAAGGGAGCCTTAACAGTAAAGCTGCAGTTGCTGCCTTGGAGTCAGCATCTCGCCCGAACTTGTGGTTTGATGTAGCGCTCCGTTCCCTCGTCTCTCCCCAGGGCCAAATCAGTGATCGGGGGGTCATGTTCCCCGCTCCACATCTGGACTGATGCTGAACTCTGCAGCCGCTCTCCAGAGGGGCCATTGGGGACCCGGTAATGAGAACCACAGATCCTTGCGTCTTCTCCAGTGCTGTGTTCCTTTATGAGCCTTGACACGAGGACAAGTCGTAAAGAAATCTACATGCATGTGGCCTTTTCCCATCCCCTCAGATACCAACCCGCGACAAGCAGACGAGGGGGTCAATGGACGCCTTGAGGAGAATGTCATCTGTTTCACCGCTCAGATCGTGCACTGTGCCCTGGCACTGATCCAGCCCTGCACAGATCTTGATGTGAAAAAAAAGGGTGCCTGCATAACAAGCTAATTTTCTTTGGCTTGAATTTCCTGAGAGTTTAAATAAACACTTAAGACAAATCACAAAGAGAGGCTATTTGGCCTGTGCTCAGCCCAGTCTGGAATTATTTAGCCATTCAAATTTCACTCAAGCTTTAAATTTTCATATTCTAATCACACCACGCACTATATGTGTTTCATATATTCAGTGAGTGTGCTGAGAGAAGTCCTCACTGTGAGAGAGAGAGGGCATGCGGTGGGGCAGGAAATGCCCAGCGTGAGCACTTCCTGCCTGACAATGCAGCCTTCTTCACTGACTTAAGCGATTCTTCGACAACCAACTGGGTTTTTTAAATGCCTGAGAGATGACATTAGGGCTGACCTAGACTGACCTCTGATACTTACCAGAGGTATCCACAAAAAAACAACCCATACAAACACACATATGCATGTGTATGTTCCCGCAACATGAGGCTACAAACAGCTATAATATCCCAGAACTTACTCACCACTTAGAATTATAGGAGCAAGCAGGGAGCGAATGAGCCAACATGTTGTCTTTGCAAACTGGAGTCTGTCTCTCCAGGGAGGACTGGGTTTGATGGACAGACCAGCAACCAGTCCCATATCAGAATGGACAAACAATGATAGGAGGATAATACGCCAGCAGATGCCACAGAACAAAACAGCTCTTATTGCCACCATGTACTCCTCTGCATTGGATACATCTGAAGTTATCACACGTCTAAAAGAAAGCAGTAAATGTAAACAGCGCTATAATAACACGCGGAGCAGACGATGACTCGTATTCTGAAATATATGTGTCCATGTGTTTCTGTGACTGTCAAAAAGCCTTGGATAAAGTTTAATCAAATTATTCCCTCATCTCAAACCAGTCACGGGGAAACATGCAGTGAGAAGGCAAACAGTGTGTCAAGTTAATCCTACATTTAACCCAGATTAATTGACAGCTGTACAACATTTGAAAAAAAAAAAAAGAGAGAAGCCTAAATGTGAGCTGTGATACTCACACATAATGACAATTATAGCAAAAATGGAAGCAGATAGCTACTTGACTCTGACAGCCACCCGCAGCTACTGCTGTTTTGTAAATTCAAAAAGTGTGGAAGCTGTGTGAAATCTGAAATTCATGTCCTTTTTTGGTCAGTATGATGGGAGGGATACCTACATACTGTAACTCAATAATACATTCCATGACTGCAGTTTAATGCTATGTGTACTTTGGCATCACTCAGTATCCCAGGCCCCAAAGTGCTAACTTGTTATTATGGGGTTGCCACTAAAGGTCACTTGAGGTGCCACTGAAACAACTGGAGCCGCTGTTATTCATGTGGCATGCAGAGAGTGTTGAAGTTACGATTACAGAAATGATAAATTACAATGATTCCTGAAGTATAAAGTTCCCACAGCAATTATTATAGAAGGTACAAAACCAGATAAAATAACAACATATGCAACAGGGACTAAATTAACCACTGAGTAGCACAGACATGCTAAGAAAATATAAGTATATTAAAGGCCAATATTGGGGATATTTACTGTAGAGACAGAAAACTAATCTTCCTGTGTATTTTTCTTATGCTGGCACCAATTTCTCAATATATTTAATTTTTCTTTTTCAATAAAAATTGTGTTCGTGGAGGATACCTGGCTCAGACATTTACAATTAAAAAAATTATGAAATAAGATTTTTAGTGGGACACTAGACATTTATCACAGCTTTGGAATTTGAATATTAATATTTTGAGACATGTTAATATTAATAACTATGTGAATATTACAGTAAATATTTTTTTTATATAGTAATTTCTATAAGAATATTAACCCTGAACACACATTTCTACAGGACTATTTTTTAAGAATAATTATACTTCAGGAGTGAGCAGTATTTTCACTTTCTATCTTTACTCCGGCGCAAGCTGTAGCCTTCGCTTTTTGAAAGCATGTCTCACTGTAGCAGCACTGCTGACTGTTCGCTCCGTGACAAGCCGGACCAACTCAAATCCGAGATGGGATTCATAAACACGCTCTATATATTTTATTAAAAAGGTCGGAAGAGAAACGCCACATTCTCCGAACTGCAAGTCCTGCCCGGTCCCCCTCCGATGTAGTCCCACCCATCTAGATCAGCTATCACTCTGTCATTCATAAAGTTGGGTAGACACAGGGGCAAATTTAACGTACGTCTGCAGGACCAATTCGCGATTTACTGCCCTACTGAAAGTCAAAGCTTTTTATGTGTAAATTTCAGAGATGATTTTTTGATTTATTCTTTAAATATTTTAGTCAAAACTACCTACTTGCACCCAGGAAACAGTCCGTTAACCTTCTGAAACAGCTTGTTGAAGACGGACCATCTTCCATTTCGGATTGCGAGCGCAAAAGACAGAGGAGCCACGGAGAAAAGTGCGCCTCTGCAGCTGCAACTTGGTGCGTCTGGGCAAAAACCAAAACTATTCCAGTTGAGGTGATGGTGTCCTCAATGCTTCAGGCTGTGCACGGTTTAGGAAGGGCGAGAAGAGCAGTGTGCTGCCCCCCTCCCCAACCCACCCCCGCCCCCTCCACCAGCGCTATGACCCAGCACCGCTGGCCGAGGTGTAGCTACAGTCGGCCCGCCTCCTCGGCGTGGTGGCTCCGTTGTGGATGAGCAGCAGCAGACTGGGAGAGCGGAGACGTCGACGCACAGACACAGAGAAATGGGAGTAAACACACACACACACACACACACACACACACACACACACACACACACACAAGGAGAGAGAGGGAAAGAGACGAGCGCGCCACTGTCAAGTGAGCCACAACTATTACGCACGACTTCCACTCTAATTTTCAAAATAAAAACCTTCAACGCTGCAAGCCGTGTAGGCTGCCTTGAAAGGAATAGGCCCATTGAAATAAACATAATGATATTTTATCAAGCATTTAGGTAGGTTACACAGTATGATATATTCATGACGCGTATGGTTAAATAGGCCTTTATGCACATTTTCGATTGTACTGCAACATTCACAAAGACACCAACACCACGAGAGAGAGCTCAAAAATGTGTCATCTTCTAAAAAAAAACCTGATTATCAATATTTCTACATGTAAAACTCATCCAGCACACTTTGTTTTCTAAACAAACCATCACGTTTATTTTAATTTGAAGTGTAAACCGTCCTTGTTTCCGGTGTGTTTGTGTAATTGACGCGTCTGGGAAGCGCATTCTCGACGCTGCTGAACTGCTGTTCCTGTTCCTGAATTTGGGTGCGTGAAGGGGGCTGAGCCACATGTCCAGCGCTCTCCGGAGACACGCTGCTTTTTCCTGATCCACGACTCTGTGGTCAAGGAGGAGACGGCCTCCAAATTCACAGCATGGTAGGACAAAGAAACTATCATACAAGGACTTAAACGTGCAGCAGAAATTACCCTGGTTTAAGCTCTTTCTGTCTGACCAACGTGCCCTTTAGCAAGGCACTGAATTCCTTGAGGTGCCAGAGCCAACAATGACCTCTGACCTCCTCAGCAGAGTTAGCTTAAACACAGTCTGTGAGAGTTAGGCTGGGTATGACCAAACCAAACTTGTGTTCAATAAGCACCACGATTCAGCCTTTCAAAAGGCAACCATTAATACAAATAAATAATAAGCATTTAAAGACACACTTTCATTGGGTGCATCACAAGAAAAACTTATATAATGTACAAAAAACACATAAGCAGTGAGTGTATGTGTGAGAGTGAGCGAGCAAGCAGGGATAGTCTAAACATAGATCCTACCAAAGTCTAATTCGTGTCTGTCTAGCTGGAGATTTTACATGAGATTCTTTTGTCTGAAGTAAATAAGATTCGTCTTTCTGCCTTTTTCTGGACCACTGCTGATATTTCAGCTCCTGACTTCAAATATCTGCAGAGACCTGCATGTGCTAAAGGAATGTATTCATTTGATTTATTTTTATTTATTTATTTATTCCACCAGGCTAACTCAGTCCTACATTTACATAAATTATAATTGTAAATATCGCCTTGAATTGGCACGGTAAAATAAATCAATGTTGTCCATTCCTTTAGCAAAGGCCTAACTGCAAATGACTGCAAAAACTGCACATCCGCAGTCCAACTGAAATGTTTAGACATGCTCACTAGAAATGTAGAGTTATAATCCTAAAATATTAATATTACATCCAGTCCCTTAGTGATAATAATAAATATAATAATCTAATTAACCTCAAATTCAGGTCACCCAGATGAACATTTTACGTTCTGCACTGACTGGAGAGGCAATCTGGAGAAAAAACAATGGAAGCTGAATACACAGATGCGCAATTATAAGAATGCAAATGAATCATTTGGCATCTATAAAGGTGGCACAACTAAGATATTAAACCACAGAATTTCCCCATTGCTTGATTTCTTTTATTTATTATTTTCAATTCAAGTGTTGCTCAAAGGATTTCCTCAGCTAGAGCTTTCTCTGAGGTATTTAGGGCCACACTTTGCCTTAAAGCTAGCCAATGAATGCATCCCTACTGGTTTTATATTTAGTTTATATTTGCATGAACAATATCCCTGTAGCAAAGAGACACATCATTTATTTACAGGACATTGTCAGAGCAAAGCAATCCTGACATGGAAGTAATTTTGTGGCATAAATTGAACATCCTATACAGCACACATGAAGTTCTTAGTTCACATTAATTGCATAAATTGTTATCGAGTATCAACGTGCATTTAAATTATTCTGGTTGAAATAGCTAATCTGTTTTTCTTTCTGTGTTTTGTTTAAGTGAGGATCACATCAAGTTCCAAATGAAGTGAGCGCCATATCTTGACAACCTTTGTAGACGTGTGCTTGTGTTATCAGTGCTCACAGGGCACCTAAACGGCTACGAGTCGGCAACATGATTTAGCATAAAGTGCACCAGACTCCCTCACAGCATTACATACTGATCGAGAGAGAGAGAGAGAGAGAGAGAGAGAGAGAGAGAGAGAGAGAGAGAGAGCTGTGGCGGGTTACAGCATGTGCGCTATCAATCACTGGTATTCCTACACTCTGGAGCAGCTGGCCCATTCAGAGGTCAGGTATAACATAATGGATTCTCTCCGACACATTCTGTCACTTTTCTTTCTGTTTTATCCTGGCGAGAAAAGCCCTTAGATGAAGAAGCATCTTATAGTATCATGTTACTAGTTTGTTTCACATGCATCTGCTCATTTGAAATACTAAACTAACAATATTAGCCTATGTGATGCCCAGGAATTTGGGAGGTTGAATGTAGGGGATGCTGGAGGGAGAACCAAATTAATTCAGCCATTTAGGAGAAATAATTTTTTAATTTTTTTTTTACAAACAACACCTTGACAGCCTTTTATTTCAGGATAGACACACATCTTTAATACAGATTTGCTCTGAAAAAACATAAAAACTCTATTTTTAACACTAATGATATTTTATTTTGAATTATGAAACATGAGTAAAATAGCTGTCAAATATCACAAAAAACAACAACTAAGGAGACAAAGTTCAGAGAGCTCTGTCAGCTCCTTCAAGCCTGTGTATCCTCCTTGCACTTCAAGTAGCTTATGCACGGAAATTTAAACAAATGCTCTAAAACGTTCCCTGCAAAGATTGTGACTGGAAGTTTATGAGCTTATGTGAGACGGTTATGGATGAAGAACTTATAGGGAAATGCGGTAGATCACAAGGGATGCCTGAACGCCGTCTGTGACCCATCAGTGAACCCTTCTGATCCACGGCTCTCCAAAGCAGCAGAGCAACATTTTTATTTCCTGTTTGAAGAATTATTTTATATATAAAATTAAATATTTCAACTTAGATTAGTGCACTTGGTGTGAAATATACCTAAACCACTGACACAAATTCTCAGAAAAAATAAAAGCCAAACATTAACTGTAGTAAAATAATGGTTTTATCTACACAGAAAGCTGTATCTTTTTGCCCTCACACACAATTAACAGGAGTCACAGTTTGAAAAAAATACAAAAGAAGATAGGCAGAAAGCAAACAGCACGATCACAGCAAATCTTGAGCTGTCAGATGTTTCCTGTACTATTTTAAGTGCACAAAGCAAGCTGCACTTTGTTAGGGACACATGGCTGTGTTGCTAGGGAGCCGCCTGCCATCTCTGCTGGGCATTTAAAGGACTAGTTTATCAACTCGCTACAGTGACCTTGACATTTTAAGATTTTGATAAATACATTTCCTATTACTTTTAATTTTAAATGGTAGTAATATTGTAATTACAGTATACCATATATCAATTGTATAGCTTTTTTGTTGATGTTAACACAATTTAATGTGCTCCTGGGCAGTAGTGGAGGAAGGATTCAGATGCCTTATTTAAGTAAAAGTAGCAATACCACACTGTAAACAGACATACCTACAGTATTATTATCAAATGTATAATAGCCTGCTTTATAAAGGGCTGCAACTAATTATTTTCATTGAAGATAAACTTGCTGATTATTTTATTTTGGCTCTACTCCTCAGCCGGACTGCAATGGCAGCCACGTGATTCTCCTTGGGGTTCAATGTGCCTGTCAGGGTAGCCTAAATCAACTAAAAGTGCAACATGACTACATTATGGAAAGGACTGTTACAGAGGTAGACCTTTTCTAGGATGCTTTTTGTTTCACCGGAAGAAGCCGTTATATCGCTTTTGCTTGCCACCAGACTTCATTGAAAAAAGCAATAATTTTACCTCATGGGTCATCATAAAACAAACTTCATTCAAACTGGACAGAAACAAAACATAAACTCCCCAAAACTGTCCTATTTAGCCTTTTACAGCAATCACTAACTTGGTCAAAATAAATCCTTAATTCACTGCGTTGATGATAAAAAAAGCAGCCGTTGTATCGCACTCCTCAAATCCACAGTTTCACAGCAAGGGACTTACATGCACAACAGGCATGCGTGGCTGGACCAGCTACCAAAACAGAGCACAGAGAAGCTCAGATGACCACAGACACAGAAGGGATGTGACGTCATTCTTTGCTCGGGATGACATCACCCCACTGTATCTTTACTTAGTAAATAGTTATTTGCTGCTTTATTAATGTTCAGAATCTCATATACAGAACTTGGACACGAAAAAGAAGCAAAATTCTCACATTTGAGAAACTCGAAAAGTTTTGTCTAATTTTATTTTTAACTTTAAATATAACATTATATTTCATAAGTTCATCATATGTTTTGTATGTAAAACCTTAATTTGCAAATAACTAATAACTGTAGCTAAAATCAGTTGAGTAGAAGAATAATGTGGAATTGGAAATATTCAAGTAAAGTACCTCATATTTGTACTTAAGTATAGTAAATGTACTTTGTAATATTTCACCACTGGTCCTGGTTGATTGTGCTTCACTGAGCATAATTAAAGAAATATATATTTACAGTAGAGGATAGATCATAGGCAGACAGACAGGTCAACAGATGAATTTTGTGGCTAAATCTGCATCACAATATCTTTATATTTATTTGGATACAGTGATCTCAAAGTGAAAGTGAAAAATGAACTAAGCACCACAGACCCAAGAAAACCTCAAAAATGTCCGCCAGGGCTCTCTCCGGCTTGATCTGTATCAATTTGGACAAGCAGTGCGCACTCTTTTCTCTGTCAACATTATCCTGCCACCAAATCCCATATGCATCTGTGAATGGATAGCATGTGTGTTACAAGGAAATTTATGGAAATCAAAAAGGCGATGATGAAAGAAGCTGCAATGTCATCTGTCTTAATATGGGATTTGTGTGTCACACGCAGTAGGTTCCTATGGCCGTTTGGTGAAGGATCAGCTTTGCAATTGTCTGCTCGGGGATCAACAGCTGACTGAAGAGTGAAGTGGTCGGCAACCACACTTAACTGTTCCCCTCTTGGCTGTTTTTAGCAAACATCCTCCTGACGACTACAGCCTCTGTCTCCCAACATAAGAGCTGCACATCTTCAGAGGTGTGTGTGCTTGTTCACACACAGCCTTACCCCCTACCCCCACATTACAGACCTCATCCACTTAAGCACATTTCTGATTCAAGGCACTGTACAAGCTTTTTGCACATTGTACATACACACACACGCCCCAGATGTAAGTGAAACATTTACGGATCACATGCAAGCACACGCAAACATGAACACATGTGCACACACAGGAGCATACTTACATCCACGTAGGCGCACGCACACACACACACACACACACACACACAGACATACACACACACATCACATGCGGCAGACACACACCACAGAGACTTCCAGTCCCCTCCCCCCAACTGAATAGTCTGTTCTGACAATCCACAGGACAGCCGGAGCATTGACGTCAGAGGCAGGCCCATGAAAATACAGGGTCCCTGGGGGGCTGAGGGAGTTATGCACATCTTCACAGCTTGGCTCGCAACTAGTTCAACAACCAATGAGCATATTACTGCCTCTGTTTACTCTTATTTGTTGGGAAAATGCAATAAAAAAAAAGAAGTTTCACATTTACACAAAGCCTGGCATGCACAAATTTGCATGCAACTGCAATGCGGATCATCTGAAACGTGACGTCAATGGACGTCATTGCACTGTGATCCATTAGAACAAATGTGAGATAGGTGCATAATTTAGGTTAATGGAAATATAAATCACAGCACATCATTACCTGCTCTCTGTCGTCTTAATAATTGCCATTTTGAATAACTTCTGTCAGACTGTAGTTTACTTGACATACCCAGAGGAAAGGTTTGTTGTTCGCTCAGACATCTTCACAGTCCAGGGAGAAAAGATGACATCTTTGTTTACTGCTCAGTGCTCTGAACATCTTTCTGGGTTTTTTTTCTTCTTCTAAGACATCATTGGGACATCAGAGCCATTAATCTCATTGTTCTCTCTCGTTCTCCTCCTCTCACCTTTTCTGAGATTGACTATGGCAAATTATGTAACATAGTAACTGTTTGTCTGCAACCAAATACAGTCTGTGTTGCTGAGGTCTTAGCTGTGTTCTTGTTAAAGAAATATTCTACACAATAAAGTCTAATAGTCTAGTCAAAGTAATTTGATCTTGGACTGTATGGGCAGAAAGCCCTATGGCTTATTTGAGACAATGCTAGTGATTCAGTAGACATACATTGAAGCAGTATCAGCATGCATGTTCGTGTGTGTGTGTCAGTGGTTTTTAAATATCACAGATGCATGAAGAAAAATATTAGGGGATAAATATGAAATTAAATATTGTTATATCCTGAATACAGTTATAACTATAACTGTAAATGCATTTCCAAGAGGTTTAGCATTTGTGACTTTTGACTGCAGTACAGCAAGTAGAGGTTGATCTCAGTGAACTTAACCTCTCTTTCCTGTGATCACACTTGAACGTTGAACCAGAATGCTTTTCTATTCAACCGTTGAAGAGCTGATTAGATATAGGCAAAAAAAAAAAACATTCTGTAGTAACTGGCGTTTCCTGTTGCAGATGAAACAGAGCAAAGTCAACCCTGTGAGTCCATCTGAGTTTGAGACTGGAGCATCTTCTCAGTTGATCAACAGTCCTAAACTCACAGTTTGTGGCCTGCACAGCTGACACATGTTCTGACTCAGATGTAACTTGGATGACTTCCTTCCATGTGGTGAACACGGGGACAGGAAATTAATAGTCCAGTGCAATGGAACCATTAAAGACAGATTGTTTTTTGTCAGCATCAGTAGAAGCACTGTGTAGATTACATAGCAGGGATTATATGTTGTGTCCCCAAGGGCAAGTGTCCACTAATAAAACTTGACTCTTCAGCTGCCTGCATGTCCCTCAGCGCTGGCTTGTCAACAGGAAACCGGCTGGTCTAGTGAGGGTTGCCTTTTATGGACACACTGACAGCAACAGCACGTTCTGAGAACCTGAGAGGGATGATGGTCCAAACTCATTTGGGGTGGAGCTGATTAAATGACTGACCTTATATGAAAACCCGTCCTGTTCTTGATGGTGAATGCCCATGTCCTTTTCACTTCAGCGACTCTTACTAGTTAGACGTGGTACCTGTACGCTCACCAAATTAACTGCAAAGACCTAGGAATATGGCAACATTGCCACAGTGAAGTCTGACAAGACGCAAGACATATTTATTGCCATATGTGTGTATTTTCAGTGAAATATCTCAAGCCATCTAATTTAGAGCGTTTGTTACTTGTCATAATATTGATATTTTAGTTATATGAATAACTATTGGTCTTATGTATTTCCGCACCACATGTTTTTATCTACTTTTCATATATTTCATATTATGCTATTTATGTTTTTAATCTGTTTTAAATGTACATAACTTGAAAAGCGCTATAGAAATAAAATGTATTATTATTTTTATTATTAAAAGGTTTACATGTCATTCTTCCTATCCCGAATGTAGGATAAAGTGCTTAAAGTCTAATTAAATATAAATATATAAATAAAAATATATCTTAGATGCGAAAGGGGGGGGGGGGGGGACAAATAAAAGCAGCTCAAAACTGACATTAAGCTGACAGCATTTCTCTATTCAATAATTTAACAATGCTACTACTGTAACCTAGTAGTTATTGTACTGTGTAGCACCAGAAGCATGGAGCGTGTGTGTTAACAAATGTTTAATCTCATGCCAATTTTATTAGCAAATATCAACCTGAATTATTAATTATGAAACTCTCGTTCCCCATTTATCTACACAGAGTTCAGAGGTCAGGGCAAACTGGAGCACACCTGGGAGCTGATGGGTATTCTTGTGCTTTACTGCAACCTGAAGAAGGTCACTCGAGATGGTAAAAAAAACAAAACACATCCAAACATTAGCGAGGTAGGTTTGTAAGCAGCAACGCTTACTCTGATTGCAAAATGAAGCGTTTGTAAATTCAGAGCACTGCCAGAATCCCTCTGCCTAAATTCAGAGCATCAGAGACACTTAACAGACAATGTGGACAACTGTGCTCTAACGGCTTTTACAGTATAAAGGTACCGTCCTTTAGAAGTAAACCTGCTACTGTATGGTCTTTTAATCTCTGGCTATGGGGTTTCTTCACATTAAAGGGGAGACTGACAAAAATCTATTCTCTTACTACACCTTTAAGTATAGATTTAGTTGGATTCAATGCTTTTAGTTATTGGAAACTGACAAATGCACATTTAAAAGCTACAAAATATACACAGTCCCGACAAAAGGATCTTCTTTTTGCTTATTTAAATCTGGTTCACTACACATGACTGTGCTTAACAAAACTACGCAGCTGTAGGAGGAGAAAATGTAATGACGTGATCCATGATGAGCATTTTTCTTTGTACATTTCAACAGGTTTAATGCAGCAGTTGACTGAAACAGTGGAAGCCATCTTCTGCTTGTGTGCCACACGCTGACAAATTTAATGTGATTGTATCACACATCTAATGCTTAGGGTGGATATATGGCAAGAAATAAATGAAAGAAATGTTGTTAAGGTTTCCGTCAACGCATGAGAGAAAACAAAGAAAGCACGCTCAGAGAGCGCACAGTGGACAGGTGGAGCAGATATGTGAGGTGGAGCTGTGTGGCGCGCTGCAGTGGAGGGAACTGCAGAAAGCACATGAATCAAAAAAAAATTTTTTTAAATGGGTGAAAAAAAATGTGATGAAAGAAGTGTGTGCAGGGAGAGGGAGGGGTGTGGTGGGTGTATCTGCGTCAGAGCTGGAGCCAATGAAGTCAGAGATGGGGCAGGCTCAAGCAGGAGACGCTGTTACTGCCACTCACAGCACCCGCCTGGGCCTCATGTCCTCTACGTCACAGAGCTGGCACAAATTATGCCTGTCTGAACGTTTGACACACACACGGTAAAATGTAATTTATGTGCATTACACATATACCGCACCTATTTAAATTAGCACCAGCAGACATGCATTTTTATTCCCCTCAAAGTAAAATCACAATTTTTTTTACTCTGAATTCACATTTCTGGCACAAAAAAAAAATATAGTGCTTAAAAACACATTTTCTAATAAAGCAGCGGTTTTCAATACATTATTCTTTGCACCTTATATAACATCAAGCTGTTCACCATCAAGCTAATGTTTATGTGTCTAAGTAAATGCAGCATGATGCAGGTGACAATATTTCCAGAGGAACAAAATAGCGGTCTTGTGTCAGTATCAAAGGATGCTCGACTAATAAAGCAACCAGTCCAGAATTGTACTTTCTATTTATGCCATATTATTATAGCATTCAGTGGTATTTCTGAGGATTGGCTCTGGAGTGCACATTAACTGATTAATTAAGGTTTTCAAAATGCATATTTACTGTAGTATTTGGTAATAAAATCCTAAAAAAAAATTAAGGGTAGTGGGTCAAATAAACAGCATTATTTATTTCTCAGATGCAGAATTTTTTTTCCTCTGACACACACACAGTCCAGTATTTACACACACACAAGGCGCATTGCTCACACATGCAAATCCTGGTTATTTAGATTAGCGGGCAGTGTTTCTGTTGGCACCACTTCTGACCCAGATTATCACATCCGTAATTCCAGAGAATGACTATGATGATGAGCGTGTGGTCAGAGGTCTGTGGAGGGTAAAGGAAAAAAACAAACAAACAGTGCTCATCGGCTCTGCTGACGTCACTCAGCCATGTAAAAACGCTTCACTGTGCAATCTTGTAAAACTGCAGGCAAAACAGGAGGTCAAACGTGTCTCTTCAGATGTGCACAGGGGAGTGGGCACGTGTGGTCATGTATTAAAAAAACACATATACTGCAAATATTGAAACGAAAATGTAAAAACTGAAATTCTATTGTCGCAGCTTTTTATCCATAATTTTTTTTTAAATCAATATGTGGGCTAAGACATGATTCAGTCTTTTTTGTGTGTGTGCTGCGGACACTGTTACAACAATGAAAACAGCAGCTGTAGCATCCTACAGGTGATGACGCAAGCAAGGAGACATGAGCCATTACCTCATCAGTTCCCCATCAAACCATCACTCTGCTCTCTTCCTGTCACACACACACACACACACACACACACACACACACACACACAGTGAGTTACTACTGGCTTTACAGAAGGCAAATCCCTCTGTGCTATATGATGCTACCAATCTGCTGGTTGAACACGTGCTGATCTCTGAGCTGACATGCTAACAACGTCCTGGTCAAACACCAAGCACACAGTCGGATCATTACTTACAGCTGAATGATGTCACATAGCCTGTCAGTGTGTGTTTCTTGTGACGGTGTGTATACAGTGAAGTACTGCCGACTGACTGACTCTGCGCCTTGTGCAAGCAATACACACCAAGAGGATATTATATTCATATTATATAACATAACAACACAGTACACAGCATTTAGAAAATAAAAAAAATTATATAAATTTTTCAAATTTGATTCTTGTTCTTTCTGCACTCACCTTGTCTGATTTTACCCAAAATGTGACTAATGTGCTGTTATATCAGTACATTTTTATTATTAGTAGTAGTAGTAGAAATAGTAGTAGTAGTAGTAGTATTTAAATTACTGAACAAATGTGTTATTAGCACAATGTAATTTAATTGTTATAAAATTTGCTTGTGAAAATAATAAATAATTAAATGCTTTAATTGATTTGCCTTTTCTTTTTGTTTGGTTCCATTCAGTTTTCATAACAGAAGCTACATGGGGGAAAAACACAGTGGCTGATGCAATACAGCAGACTCAATTAAATAATAGTTGACTTTATCATTAATTTGTACGAGTTGATATAAATCACTTTGTCCCTCATAAAAGAAATGCCTTAAAAAAAGAGAGAGATAGCTCGATAATAAGTGCAAAGAATTTAAGGAGTGGCTGAGGGGTGACGAGCAATAGCTGGCTGACTGCAGTCCTCACCAGGAGTCAAACAAAGTCAGTATGAATTGTAAGTGAGTATGGGTGCTGACGTACAGGCCTGTCAATCTCTCTGCACAGCAGATATCAGAACAAGCCAAGACTGCCGAGCTGCCAGACGTCAGGTCTGCCTGTTTACTGATAACACATGGCCACAATCCATTCATGACCTATACACACTGACGTACACTCAGACACACAGAGTAGCCTTATCCCTTACTCACACTTCAACTTGAAACTATGGAACAGTGTTACTGCTCAATATTTTGAGAGTTGTAACATTTTTTTTACATTTATTATATCTTATTATCCAGTTGTTCTAACCCGGAGTGTAATGAGAAGACTTAACCTTGTGCAGTTAACAAATTGAAACTCTAAAACTAAAAATCAGTATCCTCAGTGTAATGTGTTCACAAGAATGACTTCACTTACACAATAACGTGGAATTATTTTTTTTTTCCTGCATCCTACTAGATTAGAAAAAAAAACTGTGATAGTGAAATCTCTTTTGACATTATAGGATCACAATCTATAATTTTCAGCAGTCAGTATCAAGTCTTCAAATAATGATAATTGTTTAATTGTTAATCCAGAGTTACTGGTTGTCTGCTCCATGGTGAATTTCTCTGACACGCTCCTTGAATTTTATCTTTATACTTTAGCCCCACCTAGTGTCTGTCTGTCTGAGGAGACTGATGGAGGCATCTAATAGCTATTGTCAAATTAAAGAGAGGCCAAAGGTCAACTTTTGGTATAAATTTAAAAATGTAACAAATATGATGAAATTAGGAATTTCTGGATTCTTTCCTTATGCAAACCCTATTGTGCAGTGCACAGCTGTGACCTGCAATACACATTATGACCACTAGGCGGTATCCTTATACAAGTTGAGCTTGTTCTAAACACTCTGCTAGCAACCGCCCTCATATACTGAAGCTGCTGTATAACATTGACCTCAGAGAAGAACATGGGTGATTGATGGGTTACGAAATGAGAATTTTAACGAGGAATAAATGTGTCTGAGGTTGCATGTGCACACTAAGTGCTCTGTGGTTCACAAGAGTGGCGAACAGTCCTGCGAGCCCCTGTTGCACTTCCACAGTCTGTCAGCATCATGGGCACAAAGTCAAGCTAAAGAGACACACATGGCGCACCGCTGGATGTGTGTGTGTTAAGGTGAGCTGTTCCTCAGTTTAATGACGACAAACCAATCCACAAGATAAACTCTAACTGGCCTTGACTGCGCTGATGTCCTGTCTTACAGGAACAGGGCCTTTTTTCCCTGTGAGTGGAGGCCATTTTGTAATGTTCTTCTTGAAGTGTTGTTAATGAAGTGGGAGCACCATCATTGTTCCAGTGGAGAGGATATATGGCAAGTGTTTGCTCTAAAAGCTCTGATGGAGGAAAACAAAGATGACATGGTCAAGCTGTTATCCTGCCACCCAAACTCCATTTTTAAAAACAATTTTGCTGGTCTAAGTGACCTGTTAATAAAGTGGTGTGTACAGTGTTGTTTGGGTCGGTGTCTTTATTGCTGTACTTGTGTTTGTTTTGTTGAAACCTGACTAAAACCTATTATGTACTATACTATACTATATTACAAATAATGTGCATATTTATAACACATCCAATGATCAAAATTTTTAGATTGTTACAGCTCAACTTTCCCAAATTGCTACTTCACCATAAGCAACAGGGAAAAAAGCTATTCAAATTAGCAATACATTCAGACATCAAGATTAATGCCTTGCTTTGCTCTGGTGTCTTACTGTAACAGAAGAGAGCTGGTCATTTGCACAGCTGAAGGCTGTTGACCAGCTGTGGTGGTGGTTGGTGGGTCGGGGCTGGAGGGGGCACCCAGGAGCGGCCCTGTAATCGACAGGTCCAAGCTGCACACCAAAAGGCAAGACAAAAAACGCTTTGTGGTCCTGATATGAATCTCAATGCCCCTGTTGCTACACCTCCCCTCCTGGCCTCACCATGGATATCTGAGCGGACAAAAACAATCTCCATGAGAAAATTGGAGCTTGAGCACTCAGAGGCAACATGAATGGAGCATCTACAGTGAGGGCACCATAGTGACTGGTGCTAGTTTTCCGATTCTGTTAGTGATGCAGAAATATATCATGGTTTTACTGTATTTGTCTGCTTTTTGTAACAGCAGCCAATTTTTTATTTAATTTTAGGAAGGTTAGCTGGCTGAATGTAGTTGAGAGTATTGGAGTTTTTTTTTTTTTTTGTATTTTTACAGTACATGTGACAACCTGCAACAGATGCTCTATAGATAAGCAAAAGATTATGCATGTCTGCCAGATTTACAAAAAGAGGATTTGTTAGAAGTTACAGTTTGACAACGTACTGTATAATGTATCCCTTCCATCCGGCTTCAAAGCATGCAGGATGGCAAAATCTTGAGTGGGAGGGTTTCAGTGGGCGTTAACCCCCTATGTAGTCACAGATGCCAGGCACAGTCGGGGAAGGAAGCACCCGTCTCTCCTTCTGTGTTAGCCAAGGGAAACTCTCGTTTGGGTGTGGGCCCAAAGAGAAACAGAGCCAAAGACTGTGATGCACACAGGTCACATCTTCAGTGCAAGTAAACAAGTCTGAGGAAGCCATAATGTGTACGGTAAGTCCGGCACTGCATCTGACTTTATAACAAAGTTACAAAAACATTATCTCCAGTGGTAGCTAACCAAGCAAATAAACATGATTTTATTTGCCCGGGTTCTGAGGCATCCTTTTAAAATTACATTTAAAAAAGTCTAAATATCTCTTTCTAGAATAATTTCTCAGGTAATCCACAGACCCTACTGCTTACAGTTTTTATTGGAACTACTTTCTACCCCAAGAAATAATCCGTATGAAAACTGTTGTGGAACTCTAGACACTTTCTGGAAAGACATGCTGTTAATAAAATATGTAATGTTAGAATGCACCCTTTCGGGTGGAGTCAGAGATCTCAGAAATGGATACCTCAAAACCTGGGAAAATAAAAGCATAACCATCTGCATGCCTTGGTATTACTAGAGGTGAGTATTTTGAAGGTGTCTTGGCACAAAACAAGAGTAAATTCAGTAAGTTTCATAAGTAAGATGAATGCTGTTTAGTCTTTGAAATGAAATAAACATAGATGAAATTATGTATACATGCTAAATTAGGGATACGTATTTTCCAAAACATGACAAATGCAGCTTCATGATTATATGTGATCATGAATTTTAAACTTGAATAATGTGATGCAAAGGAAACACCACACAGTCTTCATGTAAGACGTTTCCATTGCTATTTGTGCAAGCAGACACGACTCTCTCCTTGAAGGTGATGTTGTCCTTGGCCTTGAACTTACAACAATGTGTTCGCCAGCATAATAGCAGCCACACTGCCGATCAAGGTATTTCAAAAGCTGCCTCTTGAAAGAGGGATGCATGAATTTCAGACTAAAGGAAGAGCAGAACCAGTGTTTCCAACAACACAGGTCACAGATCACAGGCACCTTGAGAAAAGAACAGGACTGATTTTTGTCGATACTATCCAGTGCTGTATAAAATAATCTCTCTCACTGTTCTACTTAATACAGGATCCATATCAATCAATAAGAGCTCGTCAGTGGCATGCTTGCTTCCTCTGGTGAACCCTATCAGAGGTAGAAGGTGATAGTTGTTATCATGGATAGATTAATGAATAGGCCCACTGAGTATAGGCCCAGTTCCCTCAGAACAGAGCCTCGGTACGGTCACCATAAGTGATTTTTGACATTTCTAATTGGAAAGTCAGTCAAACAACTGCAAAGACTAGCAAAATGACTGCAAAGACACATAAAGAGACACAAAACCACAAAGATCCATAAAACAACCACAAACAGACTCAAAACAACCACATAGAGACACAGATAACATTTTTGCATCTCTTTCACTCTGGTGTCTACATAGGAGCACATGTCTATGTTCATTATCTCATAATTCGTCCATGACTGTGGGCTATTTGGAGTTACAAATAGCAGCTATTTTTTAGGGCCTGAGCACTGAAAGTTCCAGGAACCTATTGTTTTGTAATGATTATTTGACTGATAAAAATTGCAAAGTTCTCACCACATGCCCTGTCCCCTCAGTCTCTTACAAAGTTAACACTGCATTAGCTACTTCCCTCAATATGTTATCTAAATTAGGTAGGCTATCTTGTACACCTAGCTAAGTGGCAAATAAGCAGCCGTTAAAAGTAAAAAAACATTTTAGTTAGCAATGAGTCACGTTATTAATTAACTAATTAATCAATCAAAGTAAAGATACTAACAAATAAATCAGACAATGCACAGGCAGTTTATTGATATTTCCACTGTTTTGACTGGTCTTGAAATTAAATCCCGGGTCCTCTATGTTTGAGACCGAGACAAAACCTAGTACAAATGCGGCTGATTCCAAGACAAGATGGGGACCTTCAAAAAGCGGTTTAAAGACAGAGACCGATCTCGAGTACAATAACACCAGGTTCAGGACTATGTGTGTGGCTCAATCAAGAAGCTCCCGTACCATATCAAACAAACAACAAAAAAAAGCCTCTTGGAACCACAGCCTAAACCCAATCGGATATCAGCCATTTTTATTTGAATATGAAATGTTTCGCCAATTACACACTGTACTTTAACAAACTCCTCCCAAAGAATTAATACGATAGACTTCAAATTTTGGCAGTGCAATTTATAGACCCTTGCGATGCTAAACTGCGAAACCTTTCAGGATTCATCAAAAGACGCGTCCGTGGCGTGGCGTTAAATTTCGATGTTTCACCATGAAAAAGGAAGTATTGTGTAAATGGACTGCACATAGTCAAATCTGTCCCAAACTTACCATGTTTGATAAGAGTCCCATGTTACATGCAAAGGAACGGCGTTGCCATGGCATGGCATTATTTTCCATAAAACAGGAAGTTTGGGGCTAAGGATGCTTGAAATCACACGAAATGTGGCACACACATCAGAAATGGTGTGTTTTGATGTATAATATGGTTCAGGTGCATGGGTATAAAAATGGCTCAATAGTTCCCCCAACAACCCCAATATCAACAACGCAGCTGTTTCACCTAGATGTAACACCTAGATGTTGACAGGGAGAGATATTATTGCTGATCTTAAAAAAAACCCTCCTGGAGTCATAGCGTAAACCAAACCAGAAGCAACAACAAGTCCTCCAAACTAAATCACAAAATAGGTTGTTTGTCTATGCCTCCTGAAATGACATATTTATGAGAATAAGTTTAGCCAACAAAACTACTTGGTTAGGTTTAGGAAAACATGTGGTTTGGGTTAAAATAAGTACATCACGTAAGTCATGTGCATGTATCACGTGACATCACACTTGTGACAGAAGTCACGTAACTCACATGAAGAAGTCAGTAACGCTTTTAACTTAAAACTAAAAATAACTCATCATTTAGCCTACTTGGTTTCACAAGGGACTTGAATGCCGCTCTCCTGTGTGAAAATCATGGGTTTGACCCATCCACCCAGCCCATTCCCCTCCTTACGCGGAGTTTCTCGACATTTATAATACGTCACATTACTTCCTTCTTTGCTACTGTCGAAGGGTAACTAGGGGTCGCTTATCATACATACTCAAAGAGCTTCAGGGTGAAGGGAACTCATCTCAACCACCATCAATGTGTAGCTCCCACCTGGGTGATGCACAGCAGCCATTTGCGACAGACATCAGCTTGAGGTGGACAGGGAGGGAAACATAGAGCCAATCACACTGGGGGATGATTAGATGCTCAGATGGAGAAAGCCAGGTTGGGAATTTATGCCAGGACACCTGGGGAACCCCCCACTCTTTGCAATAAGTGCCATGGGATCTTTAATCACCACGATGAGTCAGGACCTTGGTTTAGTGTCTCATCCAAAGGACGACATCTTCTACAGCACAGTGTCCCCATCACTGGGGTTTTGAGATCTCATAGGACCAGACGGAAGACTGTCCCCTATTGGCCCACCAACACCTCTTCCAGCAGCAACTTAGTTTTCGAGTTGAACAAACGACCTATTTGGTCGTATTTCTGGGGAGGACAGGCTGGGAAGTCGGCCATTTTAATTGAACAAGTTACTGTGACACCTCGACCACAAATTGTCAAATCTTTTCCACCCTTCACATGTGTGATAAGTGCAGTGACCACTTCAGAGCCATGTCAGCCGGCCTGCAGTCAAGAGACCCCAGCTGTTGCTCTACCAGAGGCTCATGTGGGGGCTAGGGCCCATTCAATGCTGCATGCAGCTTTAATTGATATTATTTCATATTGGAATATTTAAAGTCATTTATTTGGCACTGAAAATGTATGTAACAATTAATAACACACAATTTATTATTATGTAGATCCAATTTGAGTCTTAACACATTTGTACTGATTTTACACATATTCCCCTCTTCTTTAAAACTGTGCCCCAGTCTTAAATTCATACCTGTCTAAACTCGCCCCTGGAGCCAATCATGGCTCTTTTTTAATTTAAAAGAAAATGTGTTGTTATTTTGTTTTGTTGAATTGGAAATGTCCATGCAGTGGTTGTTCTGTGTTGGCGTTTTGCCTTCTCTATCCACAGCAATTAGAAACAGTTTATTTTTATTTTCTTCTTGCTCATAAAAGGTACCATTAGCATGCTGGACCCCTGAGTACAAACCAGGGATACAGTGATGATCGATCCAATTGTGATTATCCCTCTGAACTCACACAATGAATATCAATAAATAAACTAGAAATACTGGACTGGAAATAGTAGATGAGCCACCATTATACTGTCTATGCTTTGCACGTTTTCTGAGCCAACAGGTCCTTCTCTGTCTGGGTGCCACACTACTAACCAAGTTCAGCCTCAATAAATCTGATGCCACATTTTGCATTTGTTATATTTCTTTCTGTAGCTGAACATGAAAGTCTGTTCTGCAACCAAACCTAATGTCACTGAAATTTAACTCCACTGGGAACTGATGAGAGATTATAGAAAGAAATCTGCTGCATCACACAAGATGGTTTTCTAGGGATCAAAATACTATTTTAGAGGTGATTGCATAGCAGCATGGTCGTGTCACTTAATAGAGTTTACACATCAGCTAAAGTGGCTGTGCATCCTGAAGATATGGCCAAGTGTTGGTGCCTCTGACTTTGCAATTAACCAGTGCTTCCTACTCAGAAATGCTCTGTGATGTCACATATCTTTACTCTGGCAACAGTTCAACTTTCAAACTGTAATTTCTGACCATGAGTCTTACCTTGGTGACTGCATCCTGCAGGCGGAGATTCCTCAAAGTCCTGGTCGTCAGGACTTTTCCGTTTCTTCGACATTTGCTGTTCCCTATTGGAGTGATGGCTCTATCCACCGCTGAATCGATATCTGCTGATAACGTGAGACACCCTCAACCAGCAGGATACACAACACATACAACAGTCTGTGGGAGGCGAGAAGAGAAACGCGAATAAATCTCAGTCCCATTCATTCAGATCCCTTCTCTATATGTCCTCTTTCCAACGTGCTGTGTGCGCAAAGTTACCATGTGGTGGCCAGCCGAGCACCTGGAGACGCAGCGAGGCATGGAGCCGGTCTCCTCCTGTTTCCCGCCGTAATCGGACAAGATCTGTCTCCACAGACGGTCCGGGACTTATTTCTCTTGACAAATCCGAAATATTTGCAGCTGAAGTGATTTGTCGATCACGTGCGTTGCGGATTATGCTTCAAACTCGCTCAGATGGAAATTACGCACCCCGAAGCAACTTGTTGGTCGACGTTTTCATGATAAAGGTGGTTTTCGTCAGTCCGGATGTGTCTTTTTTTAAAGTCAGTTTAGATTTTCCTCGTTGTATGAGGTGTCTTGCATGAATGATACCCGGCGACGTCAGACTACAGGTCTAATCAGGCATGGATGACGCACACCCGACACAACGGGAACTCTTGGGTATCTTGAAGAGTATAGGCCAATGTAAACGGAGCTCATCTGGACGTGGTCTGCGCGCTGAAGTACGCCAAACCATGTGTCCCCTTGGCAACATTTGAGCTGCGCACTAAGTTGTGGGCAGAAAATGCTCACCGGTGAAGGAGAGGATTCCTCCCCAGTGTAAAATTGGAGACACTGTTCTACAAAAGTAGTGTAGGGGGAGAACACGGTACAATACCTTCTCTTTTACAACACCAACAGTCCAGCGACGAGTAGAGAACACTCTATTTGACTGTGACACTTTTTGCGCAAAACCTCCAAGTGCCAGAGTAACACAAATCGAACAAACCCGCATTGTGTTTTGAGGACCAGTCATGGAAGAACGGCTTTGCTTTCACTTCAGTGTGCGGGAGCCACAGAGCAACTTGAGAATGAGCTGTGAATAAATGCAGAAGCAGACTCGCTGCGTTGCGCGTACTATAGAGGAGGCAATGACGCCACCGGCCTGGCTTTTACAAATTGCTTGATGGTAGTTTTCCCCTCCAGTCGACTCAGCTCTGAATGCCGGAGAATAACAAATCAGCACACCTTTCACTACAGCAACGGAGGAGCGTGCGCGTGTGCGTGCTTAAGATATATCCAGATACTTGAAACTCCTCTTATCTTCTCAGATTATCACCGACTTCTACTTTCACACATTCATTTTCCTTTCAGGAAAGTCACAGATGGGTGGCTGACACCAGTTGAGCAAAAGCCCCCCCCCCCCCCGTCTTCATTCTCTCATATGCTGATTTATTTATGAGCACTCCCGGGTCAGGGGATCATATTCCATTTACTACATCTGGTTTGGATTTCCAGTGCAGCGCCTACACTGTTTCTCCAAAATGTTTCAATTGTCTGGGCGAATGGCTTTAAAATGAAAAAGCTGGGGTCTATGCGCACATCCGCGGCTGGTTTCTTGCACATAGCTACAGTTGCATTAATGCCAATGACGCTGGTATTTCGTGGTATTTTCTAAAGGCAAACACGCCTGCCTCTCTCTCTCTGTCTCTCTCTCTCTCTCTCTCCGGCTCCCCCCTCCCATCCCTCATTCACTGCAGCCACTGACGTCAAGACATGCTTGCGTCAATGCTCCCTGCTTTGACAGAGAGCTTTTTTTCATTGGGATCATAATGGGATTATTAGGCTTAGAGAAATACCCTGCCTTCATGGCTTTTTAGATTTTATTTTGATAGATGTCCCATTATCTTTTCTTGCTTTAAATATTATTCCCCATAATAAGAAAAGGACATAGGACATATAATTGGCTCACAGTATGATGATGATGCTTTTTCCTTCACATTTTTCTATTACATATGCAATGGTTTATAATAGCAATGGACTACACCTATTTATTTATAAAACACCAAGACAAACACGGGTGCTTATGGACATGAATCTGCACAAAAATGAAGAAAGTAGCCCCCCCCCCCCCCCCCCCTTTTGGTGTTATTGCCAGACAGGTATCTACCATGGCTGTACTGATTTATTAGATACTGATATGTATTAATACTCAGTATAAATATCTCAAACAGCCTAGTAAACACACACAGTGACACATTAACCTTACAGACAGAGACATCCCCTGGGTTGACAGTGGGATGCTCAGAGACATCAGTGAAGCAGTCAGTTGTGTATTTGATTTAGCGGATTAGATGCCTGTTCCTTCCTGTCAGTCCGTGGTTGCTGCATGTGAAAGGGAGAGGATGTCATGATGTCCTTCTACACTGACCTTGATCTTCTGGGCTGAATGGGCTCCTTTGCCTGTTGTCTGGCCTCATTTCAACCCAAATGCCTTTCTTTACAGTCTCGCAGCTCAACTGCTCCGCACTTTGTTATCACTCTATGTCTTAATATTCAAATACTGTATACTATGCACATATTCATGATGTTGAGTTTTCTCTTTAAGTAACTGTGTAAAAAAAATACTTATATGTAGGTGTGATTAAATGCAAATACATCCCCAAAGAACAAAATGTGAAGTGGATGAAATCTTGCAAGAAATGACACAAGTCATATCTTACTTGGCTGTGGTTTGAGCCGAAAACAGAAAACAATATCTAGTGACAGATTTTTTTTACAACATTTTACAGCTTTATGACCAGTTGGGGCACCACACAAGACTTGCACTGTTGCTCAAGACTTCGAGCTAACATGAATGTCAGTTTGCAATCTATTGAAAAGTTTATACAGCCAACGCGTGTGTGGTTAGCAAAACATCAGGAAAAGACTGGAGGCAGGTCTGACCATCTTGCCCTAAACCGAGCCTCCATTGCAGCACTTTGTCCAAATAAATTGTTGTGCAGCAGTTGCAGTACAAAGTAAGAAGAGTGCAAATATATAGAATATCAAAAAAAGGTACTAATCTAAATACACAGTGCCAGTGTGGTGAGATTATCAGGTGTATCTTGTTGGTTTTACTCAACAAAGCAGTTGTAATTCATCTGAGATCTGTATCTGTTATCTTGCTTACAACGACTTTAAGAAATGAGCAGTCCACCCTCACAGTTAAGGATACAGAAGCAGGATAAAGAAAAGGTCATGCCATTTAAAGTTAGATTATGTTGTTGGTCACAAGTTATCATATGTTAATACTTTTGGTAAAAAAAGTAAAAAATAAATTTAGAAGACATTTAAATATGTGTCATAGGTTTTAGTAGGGTAAACACACAAAAAATAACCACACTGTAGTATGTCCTCATTTCATTTTCGTGTCATGCCAGTATTAACAAGACTTAATACATTTTTCAAACCTAATTAACAAAATGCACGTCTGGGCTTGTACTATGACAGGATGGTGCTAAAAAACTCTGTGCATACTTAAAGGGGGATGGAACAGTTCTGTAATTTTAATAAATAGTAAGTAGTAGTAATTGAAAACAGTGTTAAGCTTATTTATTCTTGACTACAGCTTTAGTGATAGTCCAATGAAAATATTTTTGCAAGTGGACATTTAATACATTTAGTTAACTTTATTTGAAATTCCATTCCAGGATCACAATGTTTTAAAAATGTCAGATAAGTCTGGAATGGGCAGTTGAATAGCAGGGAGGCAAAAACATACCAGTAGTATTTCATATGACGTAAACAGTACAGCCATAAAAATATTAAATTTAATTATGTGATTCAGTGTGATTTAGCTTTACTGAACCACTAGAAAAAGCAGGTACTAAATATAGTTTCCTGTTGTCAAAGTGCGAATAACATGTTTTATCCGACTTTGAAGATATTTTTAAACAACTTTAGAGCTCAGGTGGTTAAAGTGAGTGTGACACACGTTGTGTCACCAGTATCCTTTAGGGGAAAACTGCAAAATGCCCTCATGCCAGGGGAGATGCGAATGGAAACAAGATGTGAGGACTAAAGTTGAGTGTTGATCAGGGGTTTTCTCACCTTGACATTGACACATTGTAAACACTCCCAAACTTCAGATGTACACAGATGTAATTCCTCACCCATGTGTGCAAAATACTTTCTCTATTAGTCTACGCTCAAAAAGAGCGCCAGAGGATGAGCTGAGTTAGCAAATACTTTTACTGCATATTTTGAAGGTAACGTCACTAATTTTGACATGAAAAAATAGTAAAAGCCTGTGTTTAAGTAAAAAATAAAAAACACCGCCCATATAAAATATTTACTTTTCATTTTTGAGTGTGATAGGAGGAATGTTAAGCTCATACAGGATTTAGAGTGTTGTTTTTGTAAAATCGAGTTCATATGAATGTACATTTCAGAGTATGTTCTATTTGTTTTGTTCTTTTCAGCAGCTACAGGAGATACCAGTCCAGTCCAGCTTATTTAATCAAACAGCTGACTGGATGTTTATTTCAAAGAGAGACAAAACCAAGCATTGGAAGGCAGATGATTCACCAAAACAGTGCTTTTAGCACAGAGTGATTTCTGTACAAATGATGGAAAACTTATCAAGAACCGCTAATGAGATTGCAATTAGACCACTGACCCAATGTTCTCTCCTAAGGAACCAAAGAACACTCAACTCAAGCTGTCCCTTATGCTGCTGGGGACCTCCATTAATCTAAAGCAACCCTGGAGATCCATGGACCTGGACCTGACCACACATGCAAATTATAATTAAAAAAATGTCCCCTGGAGGATAGTCCATAGCCACATACTGTCTGTAAGGATAAAATAAATAGGCTAGAAATCTGGTTGCATCCCACTTATCAGTAAATTAAATCACTTGTGGTGCTTCTGTGAAACTTCCCATTGTGGAGTCACAATGGCACTGGAAAAACTAAATGAGCACTGTGACCAAGGAGGATGAATTTGGACAATTTAGTAAAGCGCATTCAGGTTTTTAATGTCATGTAGATGGACTCAAGAACAGCAGAGATCCCAACATGTTTTTTGAATGATATGGATAGTTGTGGATCATCTGCATAGCAGAATGTTGACCTTAGACCTTTTCATTTAATTTTTAAAACAATCAGGAACATAATATCATAAACGGCATCAGTGTTGTACAAAAAGCCTCATTTATCTATTTACACGGTAAACCTTAATTGCCTTTTCATTTTCACTATAAACAATAGTTAAAATCATTTAACATTTTTCAACTGTACATTTCATTTGCTTATTGCTGTGAATACCATGGAGTCATGCTTAATATAAGCAAGTTAAAATGGATTTTAGTTTACCTAAAGGAAAAAATCAACCAAAAACCAAACAAATAAACATATTCATTTTGTTATTTTTGAAAGAAACTCTAGGTAATTAATTGAGACCAAAGCCCATTTTTAAAGGTTAGTTCAAGGACTCAAGATTTTGCATCTACCAATCAGAAAGTGAAACATTTTTTCACTCTTAACTGAAAATAGTCTTTTTGCTTGTGAAATTTAATTTAGAAACAAATGAAACTTAATTAATGTTAGGGTTGATTCTTCCTTTAAGTCACAATATTTCATGGCCATCTCTCCAGAAGCTTACAGACACACTTCCATCAGAGGGACGGAGGCGTCACAGGAGTCCAGGCTGAAGGTAGTCTGCCCTGTGGAGAGGTGTCGTATTGAGCTGTGTCGTGCACTTCTGTGATTGTGACGCTGTCGTACATGGGAGAGCCAGAGGAGGGCACTGTGACTGAGTGAGACAGGCTGGGGTAGTGGCTGCTGGACCCTCGAAGGAACTGGGAGCTCAGGCTGTTGTTTATCCCTCCATTCTGGGACACGGGAGTCAGGGGCGAGTTACTCACAGACCACAGGCTGGTGTACTGACTGTGCAGAAACACGGATAGAAAACCTCTTAATCATCTCTTCTTAAGATGTTAAAGAAGTGCTAATCATGCAAAAGCTAAAAAATGGTGTCCATAAATTACCTTAAAGTGTGTTGAGTTTGTGAAATATGTTAATGAGTTACAGTACATTAGATAGAGAATGTTAAGAAATGATTTAAAGTGCAACAAAAAAGACAAGATGTAAAGCTGAATTAAATTGAGAACATACATGCGGAGAATTAAGAAGAAATACACAAAAACCTATCAGACAATGATAGTTGATTTTTTTGAAGCGTGGCTGTATTAGCTACTTAGTTACTTATCCATAGTCAGTGTATTACCTGCAGCAGATGGCGGTCTGTGTGTCCCCAGTTAGGAGAAGCAGAGAGTTATACCGGCACGAAAGCTAAGCAATGCACAACTTTGTTGGAGATCAGTTGTTTGGGTCAGACTTTCAAAGGATTATGGAAGAGACAGCCAATGAACGAAAATTAAAATGAGTGTCTATGACATTGACGACAAAATGGCATTCACTGTGGAGACATGGGGATACATTTTCAAACGACAGCACACAGAAGAATAACTTTTGCAGGACACTCAGCAAGCCGAAAGGGAGAGAGTAGGGCATACTTCTGGGGAAACCTTTTTCATTGGTTGTGTTATAAGCCCATTATACATTTATACAAAATTTCTATGGTTGAGAAAATGGACTGGAATTTCTGAAGGCAAGGCAAAGCGCTGAAAACATTCTAAATATAGGGTACACTTGAACTGATATTGAATTGTTGCGGCTAAAATTCATTTTGCTGGTGACCCTGTCCACAGAGGTACATTGCTTAGCTTTCGTGCTTCTCCAAACTGGGGACATGCGGACTACCATCTACTACGGTTATTACACTGACTATGGATCCCTCATACAGGCCCCCTTAAAAAAAACTCACAAACTATCCATTTAAGGATTGTGATTTTTTAAAAAGAGATAATGGTCTCCTGGAGAGAAAGAGTTAAGATGGTTTAGGTTATGGAGAAGGTCACGGCAGAAAAATGAATGATGAAACCCTTATTCATCTGGTTTTTCCTTGCAAGAAAACTTTTCAATTTTGAAACATTCTCAGTGTTTGTTTTCTTATTTTGCTTTCCAAAGTCCGCTCCTCATACTCCTTTAGCCTCAGAGATACATAGTTTTGATCTGGTGGTAAGATGTTATTCACCTAAGCAAAGCAGAAAGGTCTACCAAACTTCACTCATTTCTTAGGCAAAAATATAATTCTTACTCAACTCTGCTAAATAAAACAGACATGCATTAAACTATTGGACTCATAATTGCTGAGTTTACTCTTTGTATGTTTATCTTGTACCTGTGACAAAGAATCTTCTAATGTCCTTGTAACTGTAATGTTGAACAGTTGTTCTTAGTGTTTGTGACGTGTGTTAAGTTGATGCAATAAAAAGTAACAAATAGGAACTACACAAACCTAGAGTTGGTACCAGAGTTGGAATTGTGGGTCATGGGCATCATGCTGGAGTGTGTTGGCATCTGTAGACTGGACCAGTTATCATGGCTTGAGAGCATCGATAGACAGGCTGAGTTATCGGAGTAACTGACTGCAACACAAACAGAGACACTGGGGTTTAGTAGGTACACAGGTCACTAGTGGCTTCAAATCAATTTATCAGAAATCAAATAATGTTTTACTAAACATGTTGTTTTCTCAGTATAATTCAAGACTTTCTATTACTCTGATATCAGCATGACAGTTAAAGGTGTGAATATTCTCTCCATACATTCCTCGTCTGAAGCTCAACCATTTACAGCTCTGTGGCTCCACTAACAAAAGCCAGAGGAATGCAAAACATTCCGTGCTCAGCAACATTTGTTTGAGCTTCTTGTTAATAGCCAGGGAGGACGTGGTGTAACTCCTGGATGTACTAAGGTAAAAGGCAGAGGGGGACACTCACTGGGCGAGTTGGTCCGATGGGTGTACGGACTGGTGTAAGGGGCAGAGCGGTGGTTCCTCAGGGAGGAGTAGCGCTCACAGCCGGGGGACGGCGAGAGGGAGATAGGACTCCCAAACTGGCTGTGAGGACTGGCAGGAGGGCAGAGAGAGCCTGTGCCTGGAATAAACCAGCCACCTACTGGCTCCACAGAGTAGAAGAGACATGATGAAACCATATGAGCGCCATATACTTTACAAAGTGTGAGATGAAATGAATGGGAAACAAATTAATATAATACTTACATTGAGAGTAAGTCGACTGCTGGTTTTCATTGGCATCTTCTCTTATGTCTTTATTATCGCTTCTGAAAATGATTGATGATATACTTGACATAATGTTAAACTAAACTTTTACATAAAAACATGAATAAAATGTTCTTGTAAAAGACAATGCGTATTCTTACCTCTCCTTTGCATCCAGGAAGGCCTTGGCAAAAGGGTTGTACTTTATTTTAAGAGCAGTTATCTGAAATCCAATCATAAACAACAGCTAAACAATAAGGTCCATGGTTTGCCACCAATAAAAATCAATCATAAAACATCAACTACATGCTACGCGGTGCAGTGCGTAATTTTGCGCAGGTACAAGAACCGTTATTGTTACCTTACTGACATTAGTTTTAAACCATTTTTATCTTAAAAATACTTTATTTCCAACCTCTTCGTTTTGGTATGCTGTTACTGCAATGAACTGTGTCTCTGGGAAAGAGTGGCTGGTGATCATCCTCCTCGGGCCTCCGACCCGCACTATATGGATGCGTGGCTCGTACTTGTGCAAGGAATTTAACATTATCTGCAAAACAACAGATTATAACATCTATGGTTATATGTATTTTATTTTGAAATTGAAAGCAAATAATTTAGAAAAAAACACGGAAGACACTGAACTTCTTGTATCTGGGGGATACCCCCCCTCCCCCCAATATCTCCTTACCTGACCTCCTCCGTTGAGTTTATTGGTGAGTTTGACTTTACTAAAGGAGACAGGAGCTTTCATCCAGTGCGCACCAAAATTTGGAGAGTCTGGGTGGATGTAGACACAGCTGGGAGTTTGAGGTTCGGGTTTGCCACCGGGGACCCACTCCCCGTTCACGTATTTCCACCTGTGGTTGTCTGCACATACGAAGTCCAGCAGAATAGAATACATGGCGTTCGGGTCCAATCCAGAAACGTTCACTTTCAGCACCGGAAACATGCGCCTTGACATAGAGAAAGATAAAAAATGATTGCATTCAGTGCTATCTATCAATCCATCTCATACAGTGTGTGTGCATTTGAGCTCACCTGCCATTCTTTGTAACAATCATTTCATTTGTAAGATCCTTAAATTTTTGCCAAAGCTCGCTCTCATCCAGGCAGACTTTCAGTTCCTTCTCCGTCGGGTCGCCCTTCTCGCTGCCGGCCTGGAGCTCACTCTCCACGGCACTGAGGAGGTGGTCCACCCGGTGCTGACTGCTCCCGGGACACTCGCCGGCGCCTGTGGCCATCCTGTCCAACAGCTCCATGGCTGAATAGTTGTAATCACGGGTCTTACTAGAACAAACTGATTCTTCTTCTTGTGTCTCCACAAAGATAAGCAGTTATCTCAGGACACTGACCAGCCATGAATAGCTTCCAAATATATAGGCTGAGGAGAAGCTCCATCTCGGAATGGCTGTTTGGAGCAGAGGTGGTTGGCTCATCTCCTCTTTGATCTTTGCGGGCTTGTCAGCGATTGGCTGGGAGTGGCCATATCATTCAGGTCCACAGGATGACAGCGTTTTGAATAAAGCCGTTTAACCTACTTTATTACATCAACCTGTAAATATTGACACTTAGATCAAAGCCACACCTGCAGAATCCAAACCACTGCAGAGTTGGTCTCCAACCCCAGAAGATTTCACTGCAAATTTGTTGCTGATGTCTTGAACTTTTTATGTGAAAAGTTGCCTATTTTATGTTAAAAACACACTATAAATGTTGGTACGTTGTTCTAACTGGGACACATTTTAAGGACATTTTCAAAGAAATTGTCCTAAATGTTAGTGGGTCAACACTGTGCCAATTATGGGATGAAAGAACAACTTCTAATATCATTAATGAAACCCTGACAAATATATGAACTTACACTAAAGTGCAGCAACCACGCTTAATATTTTTATTACATACAACACTGAAGTGTCAATCTTTATAATCATCACACATCTGTTTGTATGTTAACTTTTATTTCAGACAACCTACATGCATAAGGACTTTAATATCTCACTCTCTCTCTCTCCCTATAGATAGATAGATAGATAGATAGATAGATAAAATCAACAAGTGATGTATTTAAATAATTGAATAATTACTAAAATAATATAGAATTGTTATTATGTAGAATATTGTTATGACAGTATAAAAGTACATAATAGTAGTTAACCAGTGTGACATGGACAAAACACGTGATTTTAATGTAAAAAAGGGGAGTAAAGTGTATCTGACACAGATGAGAGATTTAGATTAATAGTAAACTGTACATTACAGGTAATTGACACAATAATAACATTTTCCCCATAAAGAGATGCGATGGTGCAGATATCTTCAGTGATCTGTGTTTTCAGCATAGTTTCTCCACAGCTTAAACCCACAGTCAATTATCTAAAAGAGAGAACAGAAAATTATATTAAACAAACAATACAGTCTTTAGAAAAATTACTTCAATCTGAATAAGATTTTACCTCTACATGCTTTTGTTGACACACATCTTCAATGGATAAGGGATCAGGTGTTTTACGGCAGCACACTGCTGTGTCCCAAACTAGAGTCTCAAAGCGTCGGCGGCTGCCAAGAAAACGCCCACACACGTACAATCAGCCTTTTGTCTTCAAGAAACAAATAAAAAATAGGGTTATGCACGTTTGTCTTCATTCACCTGGTCAAAGTTGTTCTGCTTTGCCGTTGGGGACATGAAGGCTGGTCATTCAGGACACTTCTTGGCTGTTTCAGAGAGCAGGGAGGTGGCTGGTTGGTTTGGCTCATCTTTCCTTGTTTGGAGTCAATGCCTGGAAGCACCTGAAAAAAAACTCTCACTGATAACTTCATTCATAAAATATATGAACTGATTTGCAACCAAACATGTAGTGCAGCAGTGTCATGCTCACAAATAACTACTGTATGCTGGTAATTTTATTTGGCGTGACCTGTTGCCATGGTGGCTTCCAAAGAAAAAACAAACGTTAAAGGCAGATAGTGTGTGACAGCTACGTGTTAGCTTCCATAGAGCCCTGTGGTGTTGTGTTGTGTTGTGGCCGGTTTGTGTTACTAACCAAATCTTGGTCGCCTCGCTCCTCCTGCCAGTACAGTGAGTCCGTCTCCCTGTCCAGCAGTCTGGACCAGAGTTCACAGCAAGCAGAGAAAAACAAACCCCACTCAGTTAAAAGAGCAGTTGAAAGAATTTTTCTGACCTTCTGTACCCTCATTAGATCTGAATGTTACTAAAAACAAATTCTGAACCTATAGAAAAATGTTAAATTATCCATTTCAGTGCCTCATTTTCTGCACGTGTCTGCCTGTTTGATGAATTACCAACCTTTGGGAGAAATCCATGTTGGTTAAACAAAGATCATGCATTTGTCTCAGCCGTCTCAAGTAAATCTCTGCTTTCCTGCTCTTCTCAGGAATCTCAGAGATAATCTGGTAAAAAAATAGAAAACATGAGCATTTCCCTCTGTTGTTGTGCTGGGCTCCAAACACACTGTAACTAAAAGAGGCAATGTTAAAGGCTGACATACCAAATCCGGCATCTTGCTCTGGAAGTTCCTCATAAAGTTAGGCTGTAAGGTTGCAAATGTGGGGGCTTTCATCTGTGGGTGGCACATATTACATTCATCTATCATTTCCTTGCCCATTAATCATTTTGTAATTTAAAAAGAAACATCCCCTTGTATACAAGCTGAGGTAACCGTGGTGTAAAAGTTAGAGGTGTCATAGCCAGTGTCATTTCCCACAGTCCCAGTGTCCCATTTGGCGCCTCTCTCCTCCTCCTCCAACACCCCACCCAGCGCTAACTGTCACACTAGGCCACTTCCTGATGTGGGATTGCAGCACTGTGAATTGAATAGGTGCCACTGCCCAGTACCCCTATCCTCAAAGGATAAAATGCAGGTGCAGCTCAAATAAACCCCAGAGAACACATTCAAGTCTGCATTGACTTTGCTTTGCTCTGTTTTTAAAGCTTAAAAGACTACAGTTTGTTCATGCTTTAACCTATTTACTACAAGTCACATTATTTATAAAATGTTGTGTTGACATTGATTGTAATTTAATACCTAAGACAAACAAGGTCCAAGTCTCAATTAGCTGTTTTTTATATTTAAGCAAATGGAAGCCATGTGGCAACAGTCATGTATCTAAAGCACTTTGCAAAATAATTGGCAGTCATATGAACTACACACAATTTATTTTAAATGGGCCAAATGATGCGGAAACACTGGTATTGTCCTTAAAGGTGGCCACATTAACTTATCACATGAACGTAGTAGACTATATAATTGAAGAACGTGACAATATAATGTAACTTGATTAAACAAAAACAAAATATGATCTCAAAAAGTACCATAAAGTAGAGCTAATACCTCCCTCACACTGTTTTATAATGTTCAAAAGGAATCCATGCACATATTATTGTGAGGTAAACAAGAGAGAAGATTGGTGAAAACTGGTGGCACCTTGGAGATTTATTTCCTTAAATGTATTATTTCAGATGTAAGTGAATAAACTATCACTCAGAGAAGTGCAACCCAACTAAATATAACTAAAGAAAAACATACTTTACTTCTTGGAATGATAGAACAACTGTGGTGGTTGTGGTCTCCTCACTTCAGCACAGTTCCCACATATACTTTATTAAGTACTGTAGGTGTCTCACAAACACCCAAAGCCTGATCCTCAGATTGACGCCCTCAGGATGTCAATAGGGGTGACAAGCCTCTCCAGCAGCGGAGGATCTGAGATGTCACTACGGAGCTGTGGTGAGTAATGCTCCTGCATGCCTGCTAACTTTGACCAGTCTTGTCTGACCACTGTTTGCCTTCCCCTGCTCTCCCTCCAGCCAGGCTCGTCCTCTGTTTGCTCAAACCCATTTTGACACAGAGGTGAGAGAAAAATGAGTCCTGCGTGCTTGTCTGTATATGCTCACCTCGGCACCTGAGCATAACCTCATCTCCAATGTTCTCACTTTTTCTCTGAGTCTATTTACCAGCCTCTGGCCTGATCTCTGATTTTACTGTAAAGATTTGAGATATCGGTCTCTATGTCTCTTTCACCTCTTAATATTCTTTTTCTGCCATCTTTAAAATCTCCAAAGTGTCGTAATTTAATCAATAAACTTCAACAAATCTTCTGTTCACTCCTTGAGCCTTAGGCATGATGAGCCTTTTCCTCGACACAAGCTGCATCTCTACTCTGATTTGTTACCTAAACAATCACATAGTACTATGTTAGTTAGATGTTAATAGTTAGATGATACACCATTCTCATATCTGTGCATTAAATATGGAGCTACAGCCAGCTGCTGGGTAGCTTAGCTTAGCTTAAAAACCGTACACATGTGAAAACAACTTGCCTAACTCTGCCCAAAGGTAACAAAATCAAATTACCAACACCTTTAAAGGTCATGTGTAAAAACAACAATTTGTGGTTTTACAGTGGGGTTATGTGCTGGACTATTTCTTGGCCAGATACGAGGGTGCCGTGCAACCAGCGAAGAATCCCAAATTGTTGTTTTAACACTTTAATTTTTTCATTTATTAAACAAACAAGATATAACATATTAATTAGTGAACTTTTAAGGCGGTGGTAGGTGGATTTTGTTATTTTAGGACATAGCCACACTAGTGGTTTCCCTCTGTTTCCAGTCTTCATGCTAAGCTAAGCTAACCGGCTGCTGGCGGTGGCTTCATACGTACTGTACAGACATGAGGGTGGTATTAATCTTCTCATATACCTCTTGGCAAATAATTATATTTCCCAAGGTGTCAAACTATTCCTTTAATTTTTGGCTTGTTAAATGTAAGATGGTAATAACAGATGGTGGGATAAAATTGAGGAAACGAAAGTAAGGTAGCTTGAAGTAAAGAGAATGTAATCACTGCCTGTGTTAAATCGGATTACTGTCCCTGTGGTTTTGACACTAACCTTGGGAAACATTTGCTCGATTTCATCCTTCTCCTGGCTGCCACCAAAGATCAGCTCCGCTGAACTCTCCTCTGAACCAGACCTTTGCTCTGATAACCTACACACACACACACACACAGAACAAAAAGGCAATCAACAGGCAATCAACAGGCAATCACAACATTTAACCATTATGATTGAAGAAAACTGTTTCAACCTTTTACATTTGTTATCTGGTCAACTTGCTTGCTGCTGTGATGTGTGACCTCCACACAAAATGTCAGGTTGTTAATATATTCCTAATGGTGTGCTACTTCTCAAGAGTAGCCATAGTGTGGTGCAGCTCACACCCAATAACACTGAGCACTCGGGTGACAACACACTTTGTCTGCTGGGTGCAAACTGGCTCCAGGGAGGACTCCTGAGCAAGGCAGCGT